CCTGCCTGCAAAAATAGTAGACTCGCCCACTTTAAGGGCATTTAAATAGTCATTGGATAAACATATGGATGATAATGGAATAGTTTAGGTTAGATGGGCTTCAGATTGGTTTTCACAGGTCGGCGCAACATCGAGGGCCGAAGGGCCTGTACTGCGCTGTAATGTTCTATGTTCTATGTTCTAATTGACTTCAGTATCCTGGGTTGGGAAGGGAAAGACCCAGCTGTTCACCTCATTCCTCATTATTAATCAGTGACTGATGAGAAAATACAAGAATGTGGAGGAGAAATAAGGTGAGCAATGGGTTATGCTACAATGTCTGCCTGCCATTAGCAGTCTAATATAATGAAGGGCCACTTGAATATGGTCATATATGAGGATCTTACAATCAGAGGAGAGAACGGGGAGATAAAAACAGTGAGAGCAGAAGGAAGACAGGGTGTTCTCATCCATGTCCCGGGAACTAGGCTTGGCAAGCTTCCTTCTTACCCACTGGTGCCCAAAGAAATAATAAAGGAGAAAGAAATTTAGAAAAGTCAGAGAATGTGTACTCACAAAGCAGGCTTTACAACTGCCTTGAAGTCTAGGCGTAAAGCCTCTTTATGATATCCTTGAAATCGAGTCACTTTTCCAGGTACTCCAAATGACATCTGGGGACAGTGCACAAAAAATAAAGGTGAGTTTTTGAGTGATTTAAAAATAACAACATTTTATTGCACTTGGATTATCTTCATCAACAAAACAGGTCAGTGAGACAAAATAGAAGATTTTAGGACATCTGATGAAAGATGTCGGTTTTAAGGAATGTCTTAAAGGAAGAGGATGTAGCGAAGTGGTTTAGGAAGAAAATCCAAAAGGCCGCCAAAGGCATAGCTGTCAACTGGGCAGCTGTTTAAATGGTAGGGGTGGCAGAAGAGACCAATATCAGAGGAACGCAGCTATCTTGGAGAGTTGTAGGTTTGAGAGAGCTTACAGAGATAGGGAAGGCAAGACAAAGCAAGGTCTTGGAATAGTTAAATCTGAATTTAACTAAGACATGGATGAGGGTTTCACCAGTGCTTGATGGAGACCAGTAAGCATCAGCACAGTGATGATGTCAAATGACTTGGTCAGAGTAAGGAAGGAGCCAGTAGGAGAGAAACCTGAGGCTTGTGTGCTCCTTACAGTCTCTGTGTGGTAATGTCAGGCATGTTCTTGTAATCTGTGGCAATTGCAGCATTGCAATAAACTGCATGTTATTTACCTCAGGAGATCCTCATCCACACTGGATCATCTCAGGTTTGAAGGAATGTGCACACACGCACACCAGGTTAAACTCCACTGCTCCTCCATCAATCAACCACCACAATTATTGTGTCTGCTAGGATAGAACTAAGCAAAAGGGCAGTCAGATGTCCAGTTTGTACTGAATAGTCCAGTCTTTTCCTGCTCCTATGATGCTGCTTGGCCTGCTGTGTTCATCTAGTTCTACACCTTGTTATCTCAGATTCTCCAGCATCGGCAGTTCCTACTATCTCTGAAACAATTTTAACCCCACTGCGAAGCCTCTTCTAAGGATGCCTACCTTGAAGAAGTTACCCTCCTCCCTCTGGAAAGACCTCAGTGGATCCATCTTCTATCCACCTCCTCCTCTCTCCCTATTTATTTCAGAACCCCCTTCCCCTCCCCAATTTCTGAAGAAGGGTCTAGGCCTGAAACGTCAGCTTTCCTGCTCCTCTGATGCTGCTTGGCCTGCTGTGTTCATCCAGCTCTACACCTTGTTATCTCAGTCTTTTAGCCAATTTGGTCACAGTCTCCACATCCCTTATTTTGACCCTTGTCCTTTTAGCTTGGCAAAGCACTGGCCTATAATCATTCCCTTCCCTGTTGCAGCAGCTTTGATGTGATGGGGTCACAATAAACAGGATTTATTTCATTTCCCCAGTCCCAAAGTCTCACTAAAAGGTACAGAATCTATTAATGTGATGACGGCAACTTCACAACTCATGACAGTGTCTAGTAGCCTTTGGTGCTGACCACCCTAACTTATTAACTGGTACAAGGATGGTTATAGACACAAAAGGAGTGTTAATATAGTGTCCAACAGACTGTTAATCAGCCTGTGAATCCTTCCCTTACTTCAAACTCTTCAAAGGAAGATGTGATACAGTAACAACAGGAACCTCCTGAGAAGAAAGTTTTCCTATCTTTTAGTACTGTCCAAAGAGAAGTTGCAAGAGATATTGGTGGAATGCTTTAGAGTTGGGGACCAAGTGTAGTGTGTCCAAGATTGTAGATGACACTAAACTGAGTGGTATAGCAAAGTGTGCAAAGGACACTGAAGGTCTGCAGTGGGATAAAAATAGGTTAAGTGAGTAGGCAAAGGTCTGGAAGATGGAGTATAACGTTGATAAATGTGAAGTCATCTATTTTGGTAGGAATAACTTCTAAGTGGACTATTATTTAAATGGTGAAAAATTGCAGCATGCTGTGGCGCAGAGGGACCTAGGTGGCCTTGTGCATGAATCACAGAAAAATTGGTTTGCAGGCACAGCAGGTAATTAAGAAGGCAAATAGTATATTGTCCCTTATTGCTAGAGGGATGGAGTTTAAAATAGGGAGGTTATGCTGCAGCTGTATAGGGTGCTAGTGATACCACATCTGGAGTAATGTGTACAGTTTTGGTCTGCTTACTTGAGAAGGGATCTACTTGCACTGGACGGGGTGCACAGGAGGTTCACTAGGTTGATTCCAGAGTTGAGACGGTTGGCTTATGAGGAGACATTGAGTAGACTGGAACTATACTCATTGGAATTTAGAAGAATGAGGGGGGGAGTCTTATAGAACATACAAAGTTATGAAGGGAATAGATAGGAGAGGAGCAGTGGTTCTACTGGCGGGTGAAAGTAGAACTAGAGGCATAGCCTCAAAATAAGGCGGGGGGACAGATTTAGGACTGAGTTGAGAAGGAACTTCTTCACCCAAAGGGTTGTGAATCTGTGGAATTCCCTGCCCAGTGAAGCAGTTGAGGCTACCTTGTTGAATATTTTTAAGGCAAAGATAAATAGATTTTTGAACAGTATAGGAGTTAAAGGTTGTGGTGAGTGGGCGGCTAAGTGGAACTGAGTCCACAAAAAGATCAGCCATGATCCTCTTGATTGGCGGAGCAGGCTCGACAGGCCAGATGGCCTACTCCTGCTCCTATTTCTTATGTTGTTACGGAAACACTCAGCAATTCAGGCGGTGTCTGCAGATGTGGAAAATGGAAACAGAGTTAATGTTTAGGTTGATGACTTTTCATCAGAAATGGAAAACGTGTTGAAGTGTAATAGGTTTTAAAGGAAGGAGAAAAGTGGGGTGATTGAAGGGGAAAGTTCAAAGGGAAAGTCTGTGGCAGTGCTGAAATGAGATTAAATGACTGAAGAGTCAGTTGCGTGGGACCAAACAAAGTGGGAATGGGTCAAAACAAACAAAATGTATTGTCTAGAGAAAGTGCAAAGGGCAGAAAGATGAACAACGGCTGACCAAGGTCTATGGAAGTCATAAACAAGACAGCAAAGCCAAAACCCGCAAAGAAAATAGAAAGCAACAAATGTCCAGAAATATGTAAAGGGTCCACAGTTTCTTAGGGTTACACTGAGCTTCATTGGAACAATGCAAGAGCTGAGTGCAAAAATTGTGGTGACAGCAATGTGGAGAAGTTAAATACTAAGTTTGCGGTAAGAAGGAAATCAGGAAATATTAAATTGCAAAGGAGTTGGTTGTGCAAGTTCAAAGGGAGTGGGAATGGAACACATAAGAAGCAAAGGGTGTAGTCTAGAGGTGGTGTGAATGGCGGAATGTTCTATGAATTTTAATCCTGATATCTTCCACGTTTTTCATCAGTACTCAGGCTCATGAAGGATTCCACCTTTTCTTTTCAGACATTGACAAAGCTTCTAAGGATTTACCAATTGTAACAATTCGGGGCTTATGTTAACAGGAGAAGACACAGCTCTGGAGCTACACTACACAAATATTACCTGACAAACACTCAATCATTCTCAGTCATTTTAGAAATGTTAAACAAACAGGAAAAGAAAGCAGTAAAACAATTTCACGATAAATTCTGGGTCACTGATACTGGCATAGCCGAATTTCAGGACACTGTTACTTTGCCGTTTTACATTAAGTTCTCTATCGTTACTGAGGTGGTACATCACCTGATCATCTAGACTGAGATATCCTAAAGCGAAGCCTTCACACTCTACATTTGTCATCACTTCAGTCTGTGTGAGTGGGGTGAAAGAGACGTTGATGGTGACGAAGCTGCCAGCTGGAACTACCTGGGAACCAAGAAATTCAACATAAATTAACACACTGTACAAACTGTCAATCAGTGAATCAGGCTAACATTCTATCTATCAACTAACTGTCTATTCCTGCTGAGACATTTCCTCCTTTGCCATGTGTCTGAATTTTCCAACAAACATCTGTTATGTCATCTTATTGATAAATGCCCTCTGAAACTCCATCCACATTCATTATACCTACTGCATTCCCTAAATCAATACCTTCGAACACATCTTCAATTAACTCTACTGATATTATCATTTTGACTTTCCTTTAACAATTCCAACTTGGCTACCATTGATTAACCAATGCATTATGCAATGGTCGCTAGTTTTATCTCATTTTATGGATTGAAATTTTGATTTTAATCTAATTATTCTGGGAAAGAAGGATGGGTAGGAAGATGAAGGCAATTGGCTGGAATTACACACTAACTGATTTTACAAACCACAGACCGGGAGTAAAATAGCTTTCTGCTCCACTCCTACCAAATGAGTTAGGTTTAAATTGGGAATTTTGCAACTGATGCTAGACTAATTGAATAAAATGACCCAGTTTACTCTTCTGTCCACCTCAGAGTAAGGAGCATGTAAATTGGCTACTTTCCAGTCCAAAATAGCAAATTTGAGGAGCAATGGAAACTTTGCCACTTCAGCCCCCTGCTTTTTCTTCCCTGAACTCTTTTAGCAGCCTGCAATATGCAATCAGGGCTGGTGGCAGATGGACAACTGTGCATCTACTTTCAGATCAAACTGCTTTTCTCTGACCATCAACAGTTGTCTTTCCTGCCCGAGATCACCTGCGTTCTCACTCCCAGTATCATTTCTCTCTATGCCTGAGGTAGAGAATTCTAAGGAGAGGTAGAAGGGAGTCGTATATGCAAACCTTTACTAATAACATACTGGTGCTGCTTCACAATCCTGCACACTGCACCACTGTCTTTGATGGGCCCTCTGGCACCAGTATCCACTTACCATCTGTCGTGGGGTCACATAATATGGATAGTCTGCTGCAATGCCCTCGTGGACCTGTAGAACAACAGAAATTAGAGGGCTTGCTGGCATTGATTCTTTCTGTTCCCCTTCTGGAACTTCCTCTTCCTCTTCCAGTTCCTAAGAATTAATACAATTAAAGAAATGAGAGTTTTTATTGTAAATTGTTGTGAGAAATCATGGGAGAGAAAGCTTCTGCCATATTTCTGTACTGCAAGAATTACCATTCAAGTGGAATTTGAAATTTAACCAGTCCTTAAAATGGACACCAAAGAAATATGCAGTCAACATAACAGGAATAAGAAAGGCTGATAAAATTAAAAACTGAAAGCTGTGCATCGTCTGCCCAAGGGAGTGCTCACATTCTATGTTGTTACAACTCAATTGGGTTAGCACTGTTAAACATTGACTGGGAATGATATTTTGCCAGGAAATGTGGCCCAAAAGAAATATCAGGTCTCCCTACATAAGTGGCTTTAGAACCTGGCAAAATAATGCAAGGTTGCTTCCAGCTAAGAACCAAACATGGTGAGGCAATGATGCCAATACCCCCTTAAACTAAGATTATACATACAAGTACACAGTCCAACACATCTCAGTGAGCCTGTGGATGAGTTCCAGATTGTGAATAATTATATTTCTTACACATTCTGTTGTTTGGAGTGCTGAAGAGCTGCTCTCTAGACTATTAGGAATAGCATCCCAGTCATAGCTGTGTACACTTTCACTTGGAGCAATGCTAGTTCCCATTATCTCATTACCGCTCTCATCCTTCAGTGGGAACTGCTGCCCATAGGAAATAATCAGATCCACCAGCTGCAGGTCATCATTCACACGGTTGTATGTCTCCCAATCCAACCGAATATCTAGGATTTTTAATTAAAAGAAGCATTGTTAATCTAACAGTCACTTCAGGTCAATTTGGTGACAGTGTGTTGTATGTAATTTCTTACTGAATAAAGAAATGAAGTCAAATACCAAACTAGCCTGATGCAGGTCCACACAGTGTATTGTGTAAGTGGTCAAGTGTGGGCTTGTGCACTCAAATGCTCATATGTCCACCTGAGCAGGAGAGGTCAGACAACGAATGAATAATGACACAGAAGGGTCACAATTTGTGTTCCTCCAAGCTCAACAGCTCTGGCATAGGACCTGTACCCCATAACTCCTAGAGCCAACCAGGAGAGTATGGAATTGGAACCATATCACCATTCCTTGACTATCACTAGGTCAAAACCCTGAAACACCCTCCCTACCATCATTGTAATGGACCCATACTAAATGAACTATGGCTGTTCAAGAAGGCAGCTTACCACCACTTTCCCAAGGACAGTTAGGAATGAGCAACAAATATTGGCCTTGCCAACGAAGCCTATGTCCCATGAAAGAATAGAAAAGAAAATGCCAGATGGATTGAGATATCGTAACGGGAGTGTGAAGCACCTTTTTAAATCATACATTGCAGTGGGGGAATTGAGTGAGAATTGAGGGATTGTGGTCCAGTCTCTAAAACGTTGCAAGCGACATCTCACGTAAGTTAAGTCCAGACAAAGAAATTAATGGAGTACTGAGCTTTATAGCAAGAGGTAAAGAATATAAAAGCCAAAATGTAATAGTGAAACCACATTTGAAAAATGCACCGTATTCATTTAGCGCCTTTAACATTGTGAAATATTTGAAGGCACTTTATCAGACCTGAGTCGCACAATGAAGTTTTAGGTTAGATGCCCAAAGCTTGGTCAATAAGCAGGTGTTAATAGATGTCTTAAAGGAGGAAAGTGAGGTAAAGAGGCAGATAGGTATTGGTAAAGTATTCCAGCTCTGGGACCTGAGTAACTGAAAGCACAACCACCTACTAAAATTGAATATGCTCAAGAATTAGAACTAAGATTAGAAAAGCTCAGGGACTTCAGAGGGTTGTTGGGGCTGGAAAAGTTTACAGAGATATAGAAAAATTAGGCCATGGAACAGTTTGGAAACAAGGATAAGAATTTTAACATCAAGATGTTGTTTGACTGGGAACCAAAGTAGATCAGCTGAACACAGGGATTTGGTGCAACCTAAGACATAAGCAATGAAGGTTTGGATGATCCCAGTTTATTGTGCATAGAAACAAAAAGAAGAATTGCTGGAAAAACTCTGCATCTATGGAGAGAAATCAGGGTTAAGGCTTCGGGTCCAGTGACTGTTCTTCAGAAATGCTGGTGGGGAGACCAGCTGAGTGTGTTTTGGAACAGTCAAGCCTAGAGGTAAGAAAGGAATGAATGAGGGTTTCAGCAGCAGATGAGCTAAGACAAGGTGAGGTCAAGACATGTTAGGGGGCTACAGACAGACAATCATAGGGATGGCACGAATATGTTGGAAGCTCATTTCGGGGTCCAAGGTGGCTAACAGACTGGTTTAATCTCAGACTGTCACCAACGAAAGTGGTGTAGTCAGCTGCTAGGGAACTGAGTTCAGAGAATGGGGCAGAAAACAATGACCTCAATCTTCCAAACATTTAATTAGAAGAAATTTCTGTACAGCCAATATTGTGTGTTGGATAAGCAGTTTGATAATTTAGCAAAAGCGGAGGGATCAAAAAAGTAATGGTGGTAGAGTGGAGCTGGGTGTCATCAGTGTATGTGTAAAAACTAAGATGTGCCTTTGGATGATGAGGGAAAGCTGAGAAATTGGAGAAGGCCAAGGATAGATCCTTGGAGGATCAGGAAGAGAAGCCATTGCAAGGGACTATTAGATACAAGGAGATGAATAAGAATGGAATCAGGTGAGCATGGTGAAATCCAGCTGGACAACATTGGAGAGGTGTTGAAGGAGGATGGTGTGGTCAATTGTTTCAAAGGCTTCAAACAGGTTGAGAAGGATAGTAAAGTGCATCTTCATCACAATCACATGATGCTAGTTGTGACGTTTTTCAGGACTGTGGCAGGTTTGGAAATCTGATTGGAGGAGTTCAAGCATATAGTTTCAGGAGGCATGGGAAAGGATTTCAGAAATGACAACACATTCAAGGATCTGAAGAAATAAAAAGGGGAGGTTGAAGGTGGGGCAGTAGTAGGCAAAATTGGGGAGGTCGAGGATTTTTATTTGAGGACAGCAGATTTAAAGAAAAAGAAAGCAGTTAACAATATTGGCTAAATAAAAACCGAAAGAACTGTAAATCAGAAACAAAAACAGAAGTTGCTGGAAAAGCTCAGCAGGTCTGGCAGCATCCGTGAAGAAAAAACATCAGAGTTAACATTTCAGTCTGGTGACCCTTCCTCAGAACAATATTGGCTAACATAGGGACCAGAAAAGTAACTTGGGAGATCATTAGTTTTTAGTGGGAACAGGAGCAAGCGATGGTTGGCATCTGGTGGGGTGGTGTGTCATGGCCAAGCTGAGATCAAAAGGGCACAAGGGAACATAGAAGAGAAATTAGACAAGGATGCAACTTAAGTGCTAAGGCACTCAAGCATGAGATTTCGCCCATTAGGCTAGTAGAAGGAGGGATGCTTTTGAGATAGGGGATCAGAGGAACCGATCTTACAGGTCCTCGACCACTTTGCACTTATTGCTTAAGAACAACTTTATATGATCACTTCAGGGAGTAAACCATTCCAAAGTGTGTTCACAGGAGTGTTATCAAATAAAATTTAACACAAAAGAAAAGACAGATGAGGCAGCTTTTAAAGAAAGTCTTAAAAGGAGGAGAGAAGGCTAAGAGAATTCCAGAGCTCGCAGGCCAGACAGTCAAAGGGATAGCCTGCAAGGATGAAATGAAGAAAATCTGGGATGTGGTCAAATTGGAGGATCGCAGACTTCTTGGAGGCTTGCCAAGTTGAAGGAGGTTATAGAGAGAGGGAGATGAAGCCACAGTTGGAATATTGCCAGATGTTTCCGATTCCATAATATCGGGATGATAAGGCAATAGGAGGGGTAAAGCAGAAGTATGTCGGTGTTGCCCTGATATGAAGAAATATTATTCCAAGAAAGCCTTGGAAAACCAGATCTATTTCTAATAGCAGAGAATGATTTGAAAATGGTGTTCAAAAAGACAAACCGATGGAAAAAGGTAGATGGGAACAGGAGTTTCAAGCGATTAAGGAAAGGAGATAGGTCTATGATTATGTGTAAGAGATTCACAACAGGGGGCAAGAGCAACCTCGTTTGCACAGAAGATTGTCAACCAGAGGAATATCCCCAGTAATTGAAGCAGAGACCCTAGAAATAGTCAATAGGTGGTTGAGAAAAAGGTGGACAAATGGAACAAGAGACTTGGTTAAATTCAGACTTTTGCTGATGTGCTAGATAAAGCTCATTACGGACTGGGTGAACAGCCCGTTTTCAAGCTATAATTTCAATGTAATAGCTGAGCTAGCTACACACTATAGCTTCATTAAGACAGCTATAACATCTGCACTTATTTACTCAATCATTTACCCATTGACCTTGCCACCTATATAATAAACCCAGTTTCATATTAATTCGGCCACCCACATCTATTCTTATTAATTCAACTACCTCCTCACCAACTAAGCCAAGTATTTACCCTCTCTGCTGAATCCAGCAGGAGAGTGACAATTTCAGATTCCCTAGATCAATGATGCTTCCACTAATGTTGAACAAGCTCATGTAAATGACAGTGTGGAGAAAAGAAATGACAAGATGCAAGGCCTACCACAGGGACCCGTATTGATGAGCCGTAGGGAACGGGAGACAGTGTCACCTCCAGAGATATGGGTGCCAAACCTGAAAAACAAAATGTGGTGTAAAGCGCCCCCCTCAGGTCGAGGTATTAGTAGTCAGTCAATGTGCTAATTAAACAACTTCATGCACCAGATCCAACAGCAACAACAACAATGACAACAACAACTTGCATTTACGTCGTAAGACATCCCAAGGAGCTTCATAACAGCATTACAAATCAGGATATGATACATTTGGCCAAATGATGGAAAGCTAGATCAAAGTAACGGATATTACATTTATCTCTGAAAAACTGATTAAACCGATCCCTCTGTTACCAATCAAGAGTGATTTTGCCTGGAAAGATATGATAGATTTGATGGCAAGAATGGAATTACTGATTCTACAGCAAAAAACATTGGTTGGAGGCACTCCCTAAACAAACCAGGAACCTGTTAGTGTCCTTTGTTTGAGTAAAGGCTTAAACATCAAATCATAACAGATGCATTGCATATATGGGTGGACTGACATTGTAAGATAGCTGGACAGATATAAATTATTTGTCAACTGAGGGAATACTGCCACAACTGTGAATCTTTCAGTGCATATGCAGACTAGCTAGAGGTGTTTTTCATGAAGACTCTAATAATCCAGTTGTAAACCATGACGTGGAGGTGCCAGTGTTGAACTGGGATGGACAAGGTCAGAAGTCACATGACACCAAGTTATAGTCCAAAAGGTTTATTTGAAATCACAAGCTTCCTGAGGGCTGCTCCTTCGTCAGATGAGGACAGTCCGACAACGAATGAATAGACACCATGCAACAATCACCAGACAAGCACGTTCTCTCCCAGTCGGGGAATACTTCAGTGGTCAAGGGCATTCAGCCTCCGATCTTCAGATAAGCGTCCTCCAAGGCAGACTTCAAGATACACAACAATGCAGAATCGCTCAGTGGAGACCAAGGAGGCCTCAATCGTGATATTGGGTTCATGTTGCGCTATAGGTGACCCCACCATACTGTTCTGTTTCTGTAAAATCTTCCTTATTGTCCTGTTTTGACAGCATCACCTTGATAAATTGTTATGGTCTCTCTACTTTAATTAGTTTGCACAGTTTTGAATTCAGCATGCAATTCCAGTCATTTAGTTTATCTATAGCACCACCTTATTTTTAATTGTTTGTAATTATCTCTCTGCTTCACTTAATCGGATTATAGGTCATCCTTTCGCCGGTTATTCAACTGTTGAAACTTTACTCACACCTTCTGATACTTTTGATCACCTGCAGAGACTTGTCATCTGACACTCCACTCACCTGTTGTATGATCTTTTGATCTCTGCCTATAAACTCTGGGTCTGTGTGCTCTGCTCTCTCACTGCACCTGGTGAAAGGGCTGTGCTCCGAAAGCTCATATGATTTCAAATAAACGTGTTGGACTATAACTTGGTATCATGCGTCTTCTGACTTTTACCACTCCATGACAAACAGTTCAACCCACCTGCCTGCCTTCCAACTCACCATGCAACATGGGGCATCCTGCCTGAGTAGGATCTTCCAGCAACATCACTTGGATGAAGGAATGAAAATGACAGCAAGTCACATTTGCCTAATGCAGGTTTTGAATTACCATGGAGAGAGTGATACTTGCTAAACAAGTTCAGAACAAGCTTGGGCCCCTGTGCAATCAACTTCTGCTGCACAGAAACAAGAAAGTTTGTAAGGATAATCTCAGTAATTACAGACTAGTCAGTTTAACTTCAGTGGTGGTGGCGACTCTAGAAACAATTATTCGGGAAACAATTAGTAGTCACATGGAAAATGGTGGGTTGATTAGGAAGAGTTATAATAACATAGAAAATAGGAGCAGTAGTAATCCATTCGGCCCTTTGAGCCTGCTCCTTCATTCAATGTGATCATAGCTGATTATCCAACTCAGTACCATGTTCCCGCTTTCTCCCCATACCCTTTATTCCCTTTAGAACTATAATTAAGATATATGGAAGATCCAATTCAAGAGCGAACTATACGGTAAATGGAAAAGCCCTGGGGAAAATTGATACACAGAGAGATCTGGGTGTTCAGGTCCATTGTACCCTGAAGGTGGCAACGCAGGGTGATAGAGTGGTCAAGACGGCATACGGCATGCTTTCATTCATCAGACGGGGTATTGAGTACAAGAGTTGGCAGGTCATGTTACAGTTGTATAGGACTTTGGTTCGACCACATTTGGAATACTGCGTACAGTTCTGGTCGCCACATTACCAAAAGGATGTGGATGCTTTGGAGAAGGTGCAGAGGAGGTTCACCAGGATGTTACCTGGTATGGAGGGCGCTAGCTATGAAGAGAGGTTGAGTAGATTAGGATTATTTACATTAGAAAGACGGAAGTTGAGGGGGGACCTGATTGAGGTCTACAAAATCATGAGAGGTATAGACAGGGTGGATAGCAAGAAGCTTTTTTACAGAGTGAGGGACTCAATTACTAGGGGTCACGATTTCAAGGTGAGAGGGGAAAAGTTTAAGGGAGATATGCGTGGAAAGTTCTTTACGCAGAGGGTGGTGGGTGCCTGGAACACGTTGCCAGCAGAGGTGGTAGAGGCGGGCACGATAGCGTCATTTAAGATGTATCTTGACAGATACATGAATGGGCAGGGAGCAGAGGGATACAGATCCTTGGAAAACAGGCGACAGGCTTAGATAGAGGATCTGGATCGGCACAGGCTTGGAGGGCCAAGGGCCTGTTCCTGTGCTGTAATTTTCTTTGTTCTTTGTTCTTTGTTCTTAACTCCTTTTTGAAAACATTCAATATTTTAGCCTTAACCACTTTCTGTGGCAGAGAATCCCACAGGTTCACCACTCTCTGCTTCTGAAACTTGAGTTTCAGTACATAGTTAGTACACGCTTTCTATGGAAAGACACAAACAATGCTGCACATTGCTGAGGAGTGTGTCCTCTACAGACAGAATGGCATACAGATCACTATACCCTTAGCAAAAGAGAAGGCCATTGCTGGCCTTTAGGAATATGCATTCATAGAATAAATTGCAGCCTTGAGCTGACTGGTTTACTCTCCAACAGCTGCCAAGGGGAGGGATGGAGCTGGTAGCCAGGGAACAAAGTATGGATTGGGGGCTGGTAACAATGGCTTCTAACATTTAGTTGGAGGACAGTTTGGCTGATGCAGTACTGCATGCTGGATAAGCAGCAGTCAGCTAACTTAGTAACAATGGAGACGATGTTGCCAAGGGGCAGCTGAGAAAGGAATGGGTGAGTGATTCTCAAGGGATACCAAATTATCGGTATGAGAGCAGGAAAACAAACAATTGCAAGTGATTCTCTGGTTCCCTTTAGCTGGTACAGAACAGAACCGTATGAGAACAGTCCCACCCAGCTGGACTGCAGTAGAAAAGGAGGACGGCACAATCAATTGTATAATTTCAGACAGTCACGCAGGATGACATATGATATTCAACTGCTTGTTTTACCATGCACGGATGCAGTGTTAGCTGAACGTTTGCATAGATGTACAGGTTAGGTAAAAGACAGAGATTGGACATTCAGTCCAGAGTCAGCCCATGTCAGGGTATGCCCTCTATGTCAGTAAGTTATTCTGATCATGCCTTTTAGGGAACAAAGCCGCTATCCTTACCCAGTCTGGCCTACATATGATTCCAACCCAATGTGGTTGACTCTGAACTGTCCTCTGGGCAATTAGGAATGAGCAATAAATGCTGCCTAGCCAGCGACACCCTCATCCCATGAAAGAATAAAGAAAAAAATATACCCTCAATGTCCCTGTGGCACCTCAACACCTTTTCATTCATCCACCTGTTCAAGTTAACCTTAAACGCTGTGATAGTTGATGTCTCTGTGTGGAAGTGAACCCCGAAATCTCACAGCTTGTGTGCACAGAGGTTTCTCAAGCTTTCTGCTGGAGATCCCTTACATTTAATAGTGAAGGGTTTGATGGGTGGGCCTCTGCCAATAATGTGGGATACGGCACCAATAGATGAGCACAACCTGTCTCTACTGCTGCCTGACCTATCTGACAGCACCGCCACTGCTTCACTTCCTCTTCCTCTATGAACAAGGTAGGAAGGGAATCACCTTTGGAAAACCTGGTGTCCCAACATGATGGATGTACTAAAATAATATACTCAACATTCTTTGTACCTGACTACAGGGCCTTGCATCTGGTTGTCCTTCTGAGGTCCTAAAATCTTGAAGTACAGTGGAATGCCTTTAACAGACAGTTGCATGGGTACATAGGTAGGCTCCAGATCTCCAACCTAACAGAATAATGGATATCAATGGTACATTACAGATACATTGGATATAAATGCAAAATATACAGTATAACAGTGCATCTCTATGGTCTCATGAATAATGGAGCAAAACTGAATTATTAATTAATAATAGAAAGTATACTGAAAATAGATAATATCAGTGCTGACACTCCAGTGCAGTACTGAGGGAACAGCGAACTGTCAGAGAGGCTATCTTTCCAATGAGACCCAATCTGCCTGCTTGAGTTTATGTAAAAGGTCTTATTGAGGCTATTTTAAGACGAGCGGAGGAGTTACCCCCAGTGTCTTTGCCAAAACTTATCCCTCAAACAACATCAGTAAAACAAATTATGTGGTCATTAAAACAGCAGCTAGTTTTAATTGACCATAAAACACTCCATAAGAGATGACTGCCAATGTAAATGCATGTGTCTTTTCCTTCTTCATTCAAGGATTGCTGCTGGGAAATAGACATGAAGGAACATGCTCAGTTTGGACCTCAATTCCTCACATAGTCAAATAGCTTCTGGCATACAGTGAACAGTTCCTGGGGACCTGCAACTCAGCCTAGACCTTTGAGAGAGAAGGAAAATAAATTGGAAAGGAAACGGCTGTAGACTCTTGAAAAGGTTTACAGAGGGCAGACCCATTGTTTCTACCTGCTCCTGCCCCAAAGAACTCCTTTCTTCCTACCCTGACTGAATTTGTTTCTCAGCTTGTCCAGTCCCTTCCCACTTACATCTGCAGTTCTTCTGACACTTTACCTCAGTTTCAGAGTTTCCAGTTTGTGGGCTTCAGCCATCTCCTCTTTACCATGGACATGCAATCCCTTTGCACATCCATTCTTCTTTGGGATGGTCTCAGAGATCTCCGTTACTTCCTGGAAAAAAGGCCTGAACTGTCCCCATCGACCAGTACCTTCACCCACCTTCCTGAGCTTGTCCACACCCTGAACAACTTCTCCTTTAACCCCTCCCACTTTCTTCAGATCAAAGGTGTGGCCATGGATACCTGCATGTGCCCCAGTTATGCCTATCTGTTTATGGGATATATGGACCATTCCTTGTTTCAGTCCTACTCCAACCCCCACCCATAACTCTTTCTCCAATACATTGATGACATCATTGGTGCTGCTTCCCTTTCACATTTAGGATTGGAAAGGTTTATCAATTTCACTTCCAACTTGCACTGCGCTCTCACCTTCACCTGGTCCATCACTAACACATCCCTTCCCTTCCTCGACATTGTTTCCATTTCTGGGCACAGGCTAGCCACCAATATCCACTATAAACCTATTGACTCCCACAGTTATCTTGACTATACATCCTCACACCCTGCTTCCTGTAAAGACTTTATTCCATTCCCTCAGTTTCTGTCTCCATTGCATCTGTTCCAATGATGCCAACTTCTACACAGGGGTCTCTGAAGTGTCCATTTTCTGCCTCAACCAAGGATTCCCCACCAGTGGTTGACAGAACTCAGTTCTGAAGAAGGGTCCTGGCCCGAAACATTGACTTTCCTGCTCCTCTGATGCTGCCTGACCTGCTGTGTTCCTGCAGCTCCACACTGTGTTGTCAGTCTCTCATGGTCCCCATTAGCAGCTATTGATTACCCCAGACTGACCTTTTAACCATTCCTTTGTCTGTCCAACTGTTGTTCTCTCTCTCTCTGGGCTTCATCTCCATCTATCATTGACTCCTTGCCCTCTGCCCATCTTCAGCATAAATACCAACCTTTTCCTAGCCACAACAAGGTGCAGAGCTGGATGAACACAACAGGCCAAGCAGCATCATAGGAGCAGAAAGGCTGACGATTTGGGCCTAGACCCTTCATCAGAAAATCCTTTTCCTAGCCACAATCAGTTCTGAAGAGGAGTCACTGGACCCCAAACATTAACTCTGCTTTCCCTCCACAGATGCTGCCAGACCTGCTGAGTTTTCCCAGCTATTCCGTCTTTGTTTCTGATTTCCAACACCTGCAGTTATTTGGCTTTCTTGAAAAGATCCCACTTTCTTAAAAGGATTATGATTCTTATTAAAGTGACATTCTCCGAATGGTTATCCTCATGTATATTACTGGCTGAGAGTGATACTAGGGTTATACTCACTAATTGCACCTGTAAGACATCTGCATGAATTTCATCACACGCTGGTCCCTTAAAAACATGACTGACAAACAACACTTTCCATCAGGAAAGATTAAACAGGAGGGGTTTCTTCTGCCTTTCAAACGTGAAGGGTGAGGAGTGATCGGTTAAAGATACAGAAGGTGGTTTCTCTTTTGTTTGAATCCAAAAGTGACGTCTGTATCACAATCATTTTCAGAAAGAGGGATTTCTTCAAGAAAGCCAAATAACTGCAGGTGCTGGAAATCAGAAACAAAAACAGAAATTGCAGGTCTGGCAGCATCTGTGGAGAGAAAGCAGAGTTAACATTTAGGATCCAGTGACCTTTCTTCCAAACTGATGGCGGCGGCAGAGTCGTGTTTGGGCTGGTGTGGTATTCGGTGTCAGTGGCATCTGCATTGGCAAGGTCCAGTGAGGGCGTCGGTGGAGGTGAGATGGCATCAAAGAGTAGAGATTTTTGTACCAGCAGCAGTGGCACAGCAAAGGGACTTGTGCCTGGCCACCAGGCCCATGGCATAGCCCTTAACAAGAAGGACTGTAAAGTCGAACACTTTTTCTTGATTTATTTATTCATCTGACTTTATATTCTATGTTTTGGTTTATTTTTGTGTTTTAAGATGGCGCCAAACAGTGCCAACACCATACAATACTTTTCACTGTATTTTGTGGCAACAAACAAATCAAATCAATAAATCAGATCAAAACTAGGGGTTGTCAATACAAGTATAAGATAGTCACAAATAAACCCTAAAAAGGAATTCGGGAGAAATTCCTGTACTCAGAGCACAGGTAGAATGTGGAAAATATGATCACAAAGAGTGACTGAAGTGAAATGCATTGAAGTACTTTAAGGAGAAGTTTGATAAGTAGACTGGGGAGAAAGGAATAGAAGGATATGCCAGAAAGGCTCAGGACTGAAGAAGGGTTGCGACCCAAAACATGGACTTTCCTGCTCCTTGGATGCCCTCTGACCCGTTGTACTTTTCCAGCTCCACATTGTTTGACATAAACATGAGTCTTGTCAGGTTGGGTCAAATGGGTTGTTTCTGTGGTGTAGATTCTATCTAGAGAACAATGAAAAAAGAATACAAACTCTGCAAATCAGATAATCACTGTAGTCTCCCCACATATTGGCAAAGACTGTGATTTCAACGGTCAGCTGCTGGTATGGCTCCAGGGTTCCTGTCTTCGGTTGGACAACAAACGCTGCCCCCTTCCTGTGACACAGCAGTATGTCCTCAAATTCTGTAAGGGAGGGGTCAGAGGAGGAGAAGGAAAAGTGAAAAGATCTTAAAGGAGTGTGCAGCAAATGTTTCCACAATTGAGAATCAGTCCAGTACCTTAACACATAATTTGGACAGGCACTCTCAGTATGGAGCTGAGGGAACGCCGCACTGTTGGAGGTGCTATCCTTCAGTTATGACTTTAAACTCAGGTTCCATGATGTTGAAATCAGGCGATTTGGACAATTCCAATGTGCTATTTTGAGCAAGGACCGGGTTGAAAAATCTCACGCAGTAAGATGGCATTTTCAACAGTACAGACACCTTCTGTACTATACTGAAGGGACAGCCAAATGCTTTGTGTGGCATTTGACCCACAGCCTTCTGATTCAGACATGAACCAGCAGCAAGCTGGGAGACAATTGGAGCCAAAGCATCTGTGTTGCAGTGACACAGTCACCAGGATGAAAGGCCCCAGCCATTGCTAAAACTGGCTCCTCCTTCCACATCAGCTTGACTGGGTGTGATCATCTTCATTCTCAAATTTGTAGAAGGAATCCGTGAGCACTCCTATTTTGAGGTGAATTCCCAAAATCATTTCTGCCTCTGAGTGGGCCTCCTGCCTTGGGAACCCTAACACCACTTTTGGAAGGACAATGAATCCATTGATGGAAAATGCCCTAACATATGCATGAACCCAGGACTGCCAACACATCAAAAAGTCAGACTCCCATTGCCCACTAGATAATCCAGCCCAAAGGGTTTAATCTTTCTTTTCTTCTAAACAGCACTGCAGAATTGTTCTACATTCTCCAGGCAGGAAAGTCAGGACCTGTGTCTAATATCTTACTTAAAGATGGCATCTCTAATAGTGCAATGCTACCTTACTGCCAGCTTAAGTTACATGCTCAATGTTATTCTGTCAGCTTAACTAAACCTAAATTACTCTCAACACTGGAAAAGGATGTTGTAGGATTAAGTCCCACATAAGCTGCATTAATACTTCAGCATAAAACTGGAGGGATATTGCTTCACAGAAAGCATCTGTTGGAGGTCAAGTCTGCCTGTGGATGTTAAAGATTCCAGTAGCACTGTTTCAAGAACAGGAAGTTCTCTGGGTGATCGATATACACAATCACTGTAAAACAAAACTGGAAGTAATGCCAACCACCCCAGCAAACCTAGGCATACAAATAATAAGCAGGACAGAACACCAACGCTTCACCGGAGGCACACTGACGACGTTACCTAGCAGGGTGACAAAACGTCTGCAAACACACTGTCTCAGCGAGCAAGTCTTACAAATAGGTGACCTGGTGAATTTCTTCCACCAATAACCACCAAGAACAGATCAATGGTGAAGGTTATTTAGGTTAAATCATGAAGAAGCAGGAGGCCACTAAGCTAATTTACCTGCACTGGCTCTCTGTCAAAGCTATTGATTAGTCTCAGAATCTGTCAAAAGAGTCATGGCCCTTCAAAACAATGTAAAGTATCTGTAAGGGACTATTATGGTACAGGGGTAGTATGCTGCCTAGTGTAATAAGCCAGAAGGTCTAGGTTCAAGGTTCACTTCCAACACAGCTATGTCTGAAAGAGCTGGTTAAAACATATTTTATAGGCGGTGATATTTTAATTTTATTCATTCAGGAATATGTGCTAGAATCATTGAAATTCTATGGAAGCAGGCCATTTGGCCCAGCAAGTCCACACTAACCCTCTGAAGAGCATCCCCCCTACCTTATCTCTGTAACCCCACATTTACCCACCTAGCCTGCACATCCCTGGACACTATGGACAACTTAGCATGGCCAATCCACCTAACCTGCACATTATTGGATGGTATCCAGAGGAAACCCATGCGGACACGGAGAGAATATCTGCACCATCGCTTGAGGGTGGAATTGAAGTCAAGTTCCTGGCACTGTGAGGCAGCAGTGCTACCCACTGAGCCACTGTGCTACTCTAAGAAACCATCTCAAAAATATTGCATGAACTGCTCACCCAGGGTATGACTGCTAATCTGATTTGTTTCAGTTTATTGGTAGATTAGTCACCCGTAATTGTGTTCTCCCTTTCTCACAAGCCCCCAATACTTCTTCTTGTATACTATGACCTACATTGTGCCAACATACTAACCCAGTACTACATACTGGTAGGAATGGCAAATGCCACAAGATACCAGGACTGATCATTTGGGAAATACCAGAGAAAGTACAGTATATTGCCATTCTTTCACTGTCACTGAACACAATCCTGGAACTCCTACCCCCCATCACTTGGACTGCAGCAGCTATTCAAGAAAGCAGCTCAGCACCACCCTCTCATAAGCAATTAGACATGCAAAGTGCTGGACTGATGCTCACATCCAATGAACAACCTAAAGTCTATGCAGAAATATTCAGGTAAAGTGGATCTATCAGGTGGACAACCTGTGGGATTTGCTGGCTGGGCCAGTATTTATTACCCACCCCTAGCTCCCCATGAAAAGAGCTGCCTTCTCAAACTGTTGCAGCCCATATTTCAGAGCTTGAGACACAGGCTTTATCCTGAGTTATATGCAGGTCAGCAATATTGCGATACAGTTTAATTGGCACATTTGCTGCAATGGTATTACAGTTTGAGTTCTTACCACGCTGTAGTTGATTCTGTGACTTGCTTGGACCTTCTGTAAGGTTCACTGTTCTTTTAAGGAGTGGTGTTCTGGACCTTAAATATATGAAAAGAATTCAGAACTTTCCTTTCAATATACTGCCGAGAATACACAATTGTTGGGAATCACAGGAGTGTTGACAGTAAATGGGAATGTTTTGGTCACCTGTTCTGACTCCTTATATGGATCAGTGTTAAATTTTGATGGATAATTACTCCGTGAAGGAGAGGTTTTACTGCATTCAAAGTACTAGATAAATGCAAGTTGCAGATGTTAAATATAACTGAAATTAGGAGACGTTATTGGAGAAATGATTTTGACACAGAATAACAGAATGTGCCAATTTGGCAGTTAATGGGATGAGTGCTAAGAGTGGGGAACTACAGGCTGGATTCATAATAAGCTGGAGTTATGAAAAGGGTGTGTTGCAGGAGGCAGAATAGAGGAATTGTAGAGCTGAGGAAATTACAGAGATAGGAAGCAGTGTGGTCAACAAATATGCAATATTGGAGGACCAAGTGCCAATGTAACAGAACATTAAGGAGTGAGTGCAAAACAGTATGCTGAACAGAGGTTCGATAAGCAAAGTGTGGGAAGACAGAATCATAGAATACTTATTGCACAGAAAGAGGCCATTCAATCCATTATGTCTGTGCTGGCTATGTGCAAGAGTAATCCATCTAGTCTTTTCCTTTTAGCATTTTTCCCCCCCAGTTTCCTTAAATTGGTGTCCTCTGATTCTCAATCCTTTCACCATTGGAACAGTTTCTCCCAATCTAACAGACACCTTCATGATGTGAATACTATCAAATTCCCTCTCAACTTTCCCTTCACCAATGCAATGAGCTCCAGCTTCTCTAATCTATTCATCCAAGTTCTTCATTCCTGGAATCATTTTCATGCATCCTCCCTAATGTCTTTTCATCCTTCCTAAAGGATAGTGCCCAGAACTGGATACAGCTCAGTATTCAATATCCCAATTGAGGCCAAGGCATTTTATATGGGTTTGTCATAAATTCTCTACCTTTGTTCTCAACTTCCCAACTTATAATATCCAGATCCTGCATGTTTTAATAACTGGTCTTTCAACCTACCCTGCCACCTTTAATGATTTGTGCACCTTCAGATCCCTCTGTTTCTGCACCTCCTATAGAATTGTACTTTTCATTTTACATGTTATTTCTACCAAAATGAACCACTTCACACCTCTCTGCATTACGTTTAATCTGTCCCAGCCAAGACCCACTTCTTGATCAACCAAGAAATTAATAGTTAGTTTCACTTACGGATGATAAAAGCAGAGGCAAGGATTTCATAGTTGTTAAACCAGGGAAGGGGCAGAAACAGGCCATGGAAGTAGAAATTCTTTGGCATGGAGGAGTAATGGGGTCAGAAGCAAAGCTTAGAGTCAAAAATAATGTTGAATTTGCAAAGAATAGTCTATGGCCACTTCACCTGATGAAGGAATAGCGCTCCAAAAGCTTGTAATTTCAAATAAACCTGCTGGGCTATAACCTGATGTCATATGACTTTTGACGTAGTTTATGACCGATATGAAGTGAGATAGAGCCAGAATAGAGGGTGTTGAGTTTATGCAGGACTGAAGAGGCCAGCATAGCTCTGCTCAATGTTGAGCTGGAGTAATTTTCAGCTCATCCAATATTAAATGTTGTAAAGCAGTATGACACAGTAGAGGCAGCAGAGGGGACAAGCTACAACTGGGCAGAAGTTGACATTGTATCTGGGGAGGATATTGTATGTGTCAGGAGGCAAATGAGGAAGGGTTTGATCTTTGTGATGCTCCTGAAGTGATATTGCATGGATGGGAATGACAGTTGTGAACAGAAATGATTCAGCTCTGTTTGAGCAGCTAAGATATGCATCAAACAAAGAATTTTACCTCCACCTGCCCCTGAGCTAGACAACAAAGGCTAGGCATTGGAAGTAGGTAGGTCTGGTGGCCTCTGTTCAAGGCAACCAGCAGGTCAAGAAGAGAAAGGTGGGATAGAAAATGCCATTCTTGTTTTTGTTTAGGATCCTTTCAGTATGGTGGGATAGCTGGGAACAAACTTGAAATGCCGTTTCTGGGTCTCAGAGATGACATTAGAGGAAAGGGAAATTAGTGATGATTGCAAGAATTGAGGGGTTGAGGTTGAGGTTTTTTTTAAAGAGGAGAGGATTTGCAACTATGCATTTGAAAAGGGTCAGACCCTGAAGAAAGGGGGCAGTTATAATGTCAGCTTGTATGGGAGTTAGGTGGAAAGTTTGCTGTTCAGGAATTTAGTGGGAATGGAACAAGATCTCAAAATTGATATTAACTTCCCATGCTTGTTGCTATCAATCCAGGGAAACAGTTCTAGAGGAAACTAACGCAAACAAAAATCAATATTCATTAATTGCCTATGTGTTACAACATTCAGGTGTCAGTTCAGGTGGCTGGATAGCTGGTTTAGCATGCAGAGAGACACCAACAGTTGATGCTACCATAGAGATCCTCACTTCTCAACCTCACCCTTATCTGAGGTGTGGAGACTCTTAGGTTAAGCTCAGCACCAGTCATCTCTCTCCAATGAGAAAGTAGCCCTGTGGTGCTCTGGACTGGGGTGACTTTATCTTAGAACACTGAAATAATGAAAATAGAAGGTGCACAAGATGCCACAAACACAGATATCTCAGAAGACTACAGGAGATTAAATGTAAGAGATTTAGCGTAGACAGCACAGAAGCTACTCTTTTTACAGAGAGGGCTGTAACACAAGCAGAAACCATGTTAATGTTATTTTGATGTTGCTGAATCAAGAGACATACTGTCAAAGCGTTTCATTGTTGGGGGTCAGCCATTCATGGTTCATTCCCCATGCCAATGCCTTGACCAGTCAGAGTTGACTTGCCTGGTTTAAAATTAAATAAAAACTTGGATGTTAGCATTTTCCTGGTGCATTCTCCATGGCTGTGCATCAGCCAATCAGAGTACATTTTCCTACCAATTAGCATCCTCTTTTCATGCAGTATAAATCGTTATTCCCTGTGAGATTTGATATTCTTGCCATTCTGTCCTGACGAATGCCAGATGACTAGTTTTGATAGTGTCTCTTTTTCAGCAATACTCTATAACGCCAAAATATTACTGCTTGTGTGGAGAATAAGGATGTGCCAGCTGGTCAGTCAAAATAGTTTTGTTGTGATTTATGAGTAATTCTATTTGATTATTTAGATATGCATAATTCTGGATGAACATTGTGGGAAAAACAAATACCTCAAACCCTGGTTTTGTGACAATATTACTTACTGATTACTTGACTGACTGACCGTCAGCTTGCTGACTGAGGGGGGCACTGGAGAGCAGCTGCTGAAGTACTCCACTTCCAGATTGAACTGTGCTGAAATGGCAGTGTTGTTAGTGATCAACAGCTGCCTCTTCATTGTGTCATGCACCATTATCTCACTGAAGTTCAGAAGTAGTGAGTTGCTGTGTAAAGAAGCCGTGAGCGATTAGGATTGCACTGTACACAATTATAACTGTTCAAACTGAGAACAGAAAAAAGCAGCGCTGAGGTTTACCTCTCGTTGTTGTCAGCAGGAAGGCTGTAAGTGACGTTCAAGCCTTTTGGTTTAGCCAATATTTCTAGCAGAAGAGGTTCTTTCATCTCCTCAACCATGCATGAGAGCATCAAACCACTCAGTTCATGCTGCAAGGAAGGATCACATTACTCAAAGACAGCATCATTGGTACTTGATTGCAACAAGCTGCAGACATAAACCAGAATATTCACAATTGCTTTGAAATCTAATGATACATCACTTTAAAACCTAACAAACAAGTTTCAGTCCATCGTGGATTTTTACAGCCTGAGGATTGCCAATCTTCCAGGATTGTCCTGGAGTCTTACCAGAAGGATGTGGAAGCTTTGGAGAGTGGGCAGAGAAGGTTCACCAGGATGTTGCCTGGTCTTGAGGGCACTGGCTATGAGAAAAGGTTCAAAAAGACTTCTGAGGAAGGGTCACTGGACCCGAAACGTTAACTCTGATTTTTTCTTCACAGATGCTGCCAGACCTGCTGAGCTTTTCCAGCAACTTCTGCTTTTGTTAAAAAGACTAGGATTGTTTTCACTGGAAAGACAGTGGCTGAGAGGAGACGTGATAGAGGTCTACAAAATTATGAGAGGCATTGATAGGGTGGATAATCAGAGGTAATTACAAGGGGACACAGGTTCAAGGTGAGAAGGCAAAAGTTTAAGGGAGATGTGCGAGGGAAGTTATTCACACAGAGAGTGGTAGGAGCCTGGAATGCACTGCCTGAGGAGATGGTGGAAGCAGGCACATTGGCGACATTTAAGAGGCATCTGGATAGTTACATGAATAAGGAGGGAATAGAGGGATATGGACCAAATAAGGGCAGAAGGTTTGTTTTTTAGTTTAGTCAGAACATTATGATAGGCACAGGCTTGGAGGGCCGAAGGGCCTGTACCTGTGCAATACTTCTCTATTGTTCTTTAATCTTCAGGAATTGACAATTAATCTCCGAGAGACACTGCAACACACCCTGGAGAAAAGTCATAGAGGATTTGAAGAATTCTTTCAACATTTGGTTATAAAAATGTTGGCACTGGGGGAAGAATGTGTGTGCAGCTGACACTCACGAATCATCCAATTGGCTAATGAAGAATCTGTTTACCAGTGGCTGTGGGAAGGCTTTGCACCGTGAGAATGGACATGTCAGCCAATCAGTGTGAGAAGAATGAGACACAGGGCAGTTAGAGGAAGGAGGTTGAGAGATGTCGCTCCAGGAAAACATCCTATTGAATGTGATTCATTGGGCAGCTTTCTCAAAGAAGCTGTAGAAACAGGACTGCAACATTATATTCCCCTCATAATAACACTTTAGCACTGCTGATGCTGACTTGATGATGTTCTAGAGCACTCACCATGCTATAAGCTGTTAATTCCACACATGCTGTGATTTCTTCATTTGGCCCCAGAGTATAACTTGCTGGAGTGACAGTGACTCTACATTGATGGGCTTCACTTTCATGCAGCTTATTAACAAAGATAGGCACACATGATCAAATAAATATCAAGGTGCAAACTTACATTCATATAATTGCAGAATTATAGATTTTTAATAATATCAAAAGCCCTTCAGTATAACAGGCCTGTACCGGTCATCAACCATCTGTCTATTCTAATTCCATTTTTCAGCACTTGGCTTGTTCTAACCAACCCATTCAGAGTTGTTATTACCCACTTCTAAAGGAGGTAGGACCTGAACCCAGGAATCCTGGGATGGGACACTATCACCAGGCTGCAAGACCTCCACTGCAGTCTTTTATACTTGATAGGGAGCTATGTTTGTGGTATAATGGGACAGAAGTCAGCTGACCCCCAGAGACCTGGTGCCACAACATTGTTAAAACTGAAGATGTCAGTAAATTCCAAAGATGTACGTGGCATTGTTACAACTGGCTAGTATAATGTATTCAGACGTACCCCTGTGAGACTGGCCAGTGATCATGCAATTAGCGCATGTTACCGCAGCTAAAAGCAAGGATGAGAATTTTGAAATCAAGATGTTGGGTTGGTGAATGGAACTGGATGAGAGTTAGGTTACAGGTATGATGGCTTTGGATGATCTTATGTTGTACAGAACTCTCTCTCTTCTGAAGAATGCACCTTTACAATTTGTCAATATTTACATTCAGGGTAAACTATCAATTGGTTTCCAGCTTTGAATAGAGATCGAGACTTTTCAGGTAGCACATCACAAATTCATGAGATAATTGTGGCCAAGGGAGGTGATTCGACACATTTTACCTTAGTTCACTCACCTAGAATGACTGCGGTATCAAAAAAATGGGCTACCAGCACCTTGCAATCACCTGGTCCAGAAACAATACCACAATGTAACAATCTACCTGGCCCTACTTATAGTCACAGAGCAGGAAAGGGGAAATAGCTTCTTGAGGTCAAAGATAAATAGGTATGATATGTTGGTTAAACTACACATCTTGAAAGGAAAATGTGGTGATAACATGCATGTTAACTGCAAATAGCCCTGATCAGGTTTGGGTATGAGCTGCTCGAGGAGATGTTTCAAACACATTACAGCACCTCCCACACACATGCAAGCAATAGATGAACCAAGACTGCGCAAAATATATTCTGCATAGTGGGTGTACCTACACCACACAGAAGGCAGGATTACATCACTGAACCAGTACTGCAATCGTTTGCCTATGTGCATGGGGATTTTCTCAGACTTACCTCTCCCCAGGTATATTTTGCTGGCAGTAGTGTCTGGTTGAAGAGTTTCACTGTCTCCTGTGCAGGGATCCCAATGTAGACATCTTTGAAAATGACAGCAGAGGACAGCAGGCACACCTGAACTACCTGGACTTCAGCCTTCACTGCAATGTAACTAGTATGGAGAACAGCAGTTATCAAACCTTTCATTCTGCTTTGTACGCACGTTCTAAGTGCTGTCTTTTAGGTAAGACAGTAAACCCATGCCCCTTCTGTCATCTCAGGTTGATGTAAAAGTTCTGAAAATGAACAAAGGAGGATTCCCTGGTATGCTCGCCAACAATTATCCCTCAGTCAACATTACTATTACAACAATTTCTCTGTTTTTATTAACGTCAAGTAACCTTGCCAAGTCTTTGGGTGGAATTTAATGCACTCCTGTGTGGTGAGTTTGATGGTAGGGAATTATGGAAGGTACAGTGTCTTAGTGGTTAGCGTTGCTGCTTTATAGCACCAGGGACTCAGATTTGATTCCACTTGGGTGATAGGGATAGGGTGAGGGCCTAGGTTTGGTGGGGGGTCGGGATTCTCTTTAGAGGGTTGGTGCAGACTTGATGGGTGGAATGTCCTCTTTCTGCACTGTAGGGATTCTAGGGTTATTTAATCAGACAGGACACAGCAGATGGGGAACCTACTGCCTTCCCACCTCCACTTGGATTACATCCAGGGACAGCCTTCTGTTGCCACTGCATTACAATAACATAATGACTGATTGAGGGGACTAGCACCAGGAAAGGGACAAATTCTCACTGAAAACCACACTATTCTTACTGTTGACCTCCCTAGCCCACAACCCCCTCTCATCACCAATCCTAGGATACAGCAACAATACGAGGTGGAACTTAATTGGGGTAACTTAAAAAAAACGACATGGACTTCTCTCACCTGCTCTTCAGCCTACATCAATTCCATCAATTTCCTCATAACTGGAGTTCCCACATATGTTTGTAAATCAGCAGAGATTTGTCAACAATACATTCTGTCCATTCATCAAGTCATTAATACAGATTGTAAAGAGTTAATGACTCAGATTTAATCCCTGTGGCATTCTACTAGCTACAGTTTGCTAACCTGAAAATGATCAACATATCTCAATTCTCTGCTTCTTGTTCATTAGCCAATCCATGCTAATAACCCCCCCAACACAAGAGCTCTCAACTTGAATGTAGTTCCTCTTTATCCATCCTGCTTGACACATCCTAAAAGGCTATGTTAGCACTGAATACAGGAAATTGTGGAGGAGGCTATTTAGCCCAGTTTACCTTGCACTTCCATTTTCCACTTTCAACTCGAGAACTGTTTTCAGGGTTTGACACTTTGTTGGCCTAAACAAGACAGTCACACTGTGCTCAGCCAGTGGTAGCAGTACACCACTGGATGGTTCAAAGGTAAACTGCGAGACCTGCGATGGGAAAATGGTTCATGTCACATGTCTCTAACATCTATACATTTAAAAAGGAAAACATTGTAAGACTACTGGAGAAATGCAGGAAGGTATGACTGATTCAATGGCTGTTTCAATGAGGTTCTACAGGCAAGATGTGTTGCAGAAAGATTCTCTGAATAGTTTTTTTTTAATTCATTCATGGGATGAGGGCGTCACCGGCTAGGCAGCACTTATTGCCCATCCCTAATTGCCCTGAAGGCAATTAAGAGTCAACCACATTGCTGTGGGTATGGAGTCACATGTAGGCCAGACCAGGTAAGGATGGCAGTTTCCTTCCCTAAAGGGCATTAGTGAGCCAGATGCGTTTTTCCCCACAATCAACAATGGATTCACAGTCATCATTAGACTCTTAATTCCAGATATTTATTGAATTCAAATTCCACCATCTGCCATGGTGGGATTCAAACCTGGGTCCCCAGAACATTATCTGGGTCTCTGGATTAATAGTCCAGTGATAATACCACGAGGCCATTGCCTCCCCATTGTTTTGTGCTTATTCCTTCCTCTAGTCCATTGAAGTACTGTGACTACAAGAGTATGTGAGTTGGGAATTCTGACGAAATTACCTCAGCTTCTAGCTCCCCAATTCCTGTCTGCCACTTTCTAGGAATGCATATGATGGAATACTTAACACTTGACTGGAAAGTGTCTCTCTAATAACAGTCAAGAAGCTAGATATCATCTAGAACAAAACAGGTTGCTTGATTGATACCCCATCACCTTAAGTAATCACAACCTCCACCGCTGATGCAGAGACTACAGGGTGTATCACCTAAAAGGTGCACTGCAGTAACTTGTCAAGCCTCCTTTTCCCTTTTCTTAACTCATGAGATCTGAACGTTGCTGGCTGGCTAGCATCTATTGCCTGCCCCTAGTTGCACTTGAAATGGTGGTGGTGAGCTGCTTTCTTGAACTGTTGCAATCAGTGTGCTGTAGGTAGACCCACAATGCCATAAGGGAGGGAATCCCAGGGTTTTACCTAGTGACACTGAAGGAACAGCAATATAGGATGGTGAGTGGCTTGGAGGGGAACTTGCAGATGATGATGTTCTCATGTAGCTGCTGCTCTTGTCCTTTGAGACAGAAGTGGCTATGGGTTTAGACCATAAGATACAAGAGCAGAATCAGGCCATTCGGCCTATCAAGTCTGTTCCACCATTCAATCATTGCTGATATGTTTCTCAACTCCATTCTTCTGCCTTCTCCCCCTATCCCTTGATCCCCTTACTAATCAAGAGCCTATCCATCCTTGTCTTAAATATACACAATGACTTGGCCTCCACAGCCTTCTGTGGCAATGAGTTCCACAGATTCACCCCCCTCTGGCTGAAGAAATTCCTCCTCATTTGCAAGATGGTGCCTGAGCATGGTGACTCTTTGTTCTGCTGGGGACAGTGCACATCGCCCTGCATCTATTTCAATCATCGTACTCTTTTAAATCTCAAACTTAAGTCTGTCAGAATTACTAATAGTATTCTCGTAAATCTACTTTCAGGTGCCCCGCTGTTATCGGATTTTTGAATGGAACCTCATATATTAAAGTTGATCTTTCTGTGCACCTTCTCTGTAGCTGTTACACTATATTCTGAATTCTGTTCTATTACTCTGATGTACTTATGCATGCTATGATTTGCCTGGATAGCACACAAAACAATACTTTTCACTGTATCTCAGTACATGTGTAAAATAACTGCACAGAGGCTGGTATCCCAACATCCAGTCTCCTTTTATTTACTATTGCACAGTACACTGGCTGTGGCCAGCCAGCTCAGAGTCAGTCCCTTGAACTGAGGAGATTCTGAAATATTTTATAAGTATTCAGAGTTCACATAAAGTTAGTGTCACAAATACAACACATAGCATCAGCCACTATACATCGAAACAAGTTACCAACAAGCAGAGCCATTTAACACAGAACATCCTATAGAAAGACATCTGAAAATAAACATACATTCACGTCCACATAAGGTTAGTGTCTCAAACACGACACATGGCAAAGTCACTATGCATTAAGGCAAGCTGCCGAAAAGCAGAGATGTTCACACAGAACATTGTATAGAAACACATCTCACTTCAAACAACAGTACAAAAACTTACAGATAAATACACATCTCCCAGGGCTACCGTTCGGCCTACACACGGGCTGGCTACTGGCGGGGCTACGCGAAGGCAAGATACATGCACAAAAGCACAGTCCAAATGCAAAGACACAGTATGCATACAAAGGCCCGGTCCAATATACATACAGGCTCAGTCTACTCACAAAGGCCCAGTCCACACACAAAAGTTCAGTCCAGGACCCATACACCGAAACAGTGGTACAAAGGCCTGTTACCAAGTCATCCTTTCATTTTATCAGTACACTGGCTATAGCTGGCCAGCTAGCATGGAGTCAGTTGCCTGAACTGAGGAGATTCTAAATCTGCTGGCTATATTGGTCAGCCAGGGCTTTCCTGACTGGCCAAGGTTAACAACTTTAATCAAGGATCTCATACTCAACAAGATCCAGCTAGTTCACTATAATGTGACAACAATAATATCAAATCAAATCATTTTAGTTCTAAAGGGTTGTCCTTTCACTCTGAGGGTGAGGAAGCTACACACTGCTTCTACTGAGAGTGGGAGGTGGAGGGAGTAGATGTTTGTAGATGTGGTGACAACGAAACCAAAAAACTGACAATCTCTACCATCTCGAAGGACAAGGACAGCAGATACACGGGTACACCGCCACCTGCAAGTTCTCCTCCAAGCACTCACCATTTTGACTTGGAAATGTATCACTGTTCCTTCAATGTCACTGGGGCAAAATCCTACAGCTGCCTCCCTAACAGCATTGTGGATGTGCGTGTGCATGGAGTGTGACTGTTCAAGAGGGCAGCTCAGCACCACGTTTTCCAGGGCAGTTAGAGATGGGCAATAAATGCTGACCAAGAGATTCATAGATTTTATGAATAAACAAAAGAAAAATGATCTCATTGACAGAAAAACTGCAAATTTGGTTTTACTGCAGTATTCCAGCAATGAGAAAAGGTGTCCTCCATTCGTACCTTTCAGACTTGTTCCAAAACTCTGTTGGATCATCCCTGATCAATGCATCAATATCAAGTAATTTTCTTTTCTCTATATGTCTGATCGCTTTACCTAACACAAATTCATCAACTTCAGTTCCTAAATTTTCAGTTAAACGTAACATCCTCAGCATTTTAGGGACGGGGACAGGGTTCCAGGTTTCTACCATACTTTGTGTATGCAACTGTTTCTTGATGTCACTGCTAAGGGGGCTGGATGAGCCTATTCAACACAGATCAGAAATGGAACTTGGAGCTGGGGTAGTAGGAACTGCAGATGCTGGAGAATCCAAGACAACAAGGTGCAGAGCTGGATGAACACAGCAGGCCCCATTTTTGATGAAGGGTCTAGGCCCAAAACGTCAGCCTTTCTGCTCCTATGATGCTGCTTGGCCTGCTGTGTTCATCCAGCTCTGCACCTTGTTGTGTCTGGAACTTGGAGCTTCCTGGATCATCTGGTACACCAGCATGGCAGTTATCCACACTACCACATATTGGGTTCAGTTGCATTCTGTTTAAAGGAAAAGGGATTACACACACTGGCACAATCTGTTTATAACACCTCCATGTCCATCTGACCCTGTAGATTTTGTGATGGCCTTCACACTGTCTTTGTTTAAATTTCAGCAAATTCTTTGTGATGAAAGGGAGAAGGAGATAAATCTCAGGGGTCAAGTGTATCACATTCCAAAGCCATACTTACCTCTTCATTCTGCTCCTTCAGGCATTCTGGACTCTCCTGCAGATGCCACAAAGCTGAAAGCTGGCATGTGCTCTTGATCTGGATGGTACTCATGGCACTAGTTCCCAGCCTCACGAGGCAGAAATCCAGAGATGGAAGGTCAATGCAAACCTGGGGACCCTGCAACAGCAACACAAGCATCACATGTTTATAAATAGCAGTGGAATACTGTAGTAAAAGTGGCAATAAGACGGCATCTAATGGCTCAGTCATATAATATATTATCGTCAGCCAGTCATTGCTTTAAGCTTATCTATCTCAAAAGAGCTAGGGATAATTTGCATGTTCTCCCCATGTCTGCATGGGTTCCTCCAAATGCTCTGGTTTCCTCCCATAGTCCAAAGATGTGCAGGCCAGGTGTACCAACCATGTTATGGGGACAGGGTAGGGTGCTGGATCTGGGTTGGTTGTTCTTCGAAGGGTTGGTCCAGACCCGATGGGCTGAATGGCTTCCTTCAGCACTGTAGGGATTCTATGATAGTGAGATCTCAGTGAATGGAAAAAGAAGGGCCTTGCAGTGGCTTTGACCGATCAGAAACAGTTTCGCTATTCTCAGAGTAATTAGGAATGGGCTATCTCAGTGATGCCCACATCCCAACTAGAGGTTGGTTAGCTCAGCTGGCTGGATGGCTGGTTTGCAATGCAGTTTGGTGCCAACAACATGGGTTCAATTCCAGCACCAGCTGAGGTTACCATGAAGGACTCTCCTTCTCAACCTCACCCCTTGCTTGAGGTGTGGTGACCTTCAGGTTAAGCCACCACCAGTTGTCGCTCCTTACTGAGTAAGCAACCCTAAGGTCTGACAGGGCTATGGTGACTTTACCTTTTACACCCCAATTGGGACTGGAGGAGGTTACAGGGATGGAGAGGGACCAGTGCATGGAAGGGGTTTGGATACAAGGATGAGTATTTTAAATTGAGATGTTTGGGAGCTGGCATCTAATGACAGCTGTTAGTATCCTCAGGTACCAAATCAATCTATGTTCAAATGCAACAAGATCTGGACAATATCCAGGCTTCAGCTGACAAATGACAAGTAATTTTTGTGCCATACAAATGCCAGGCTATGACCATCACCAGTAAGAGACAATCTAACTACCACCCCTTGACATTCAATGGTGTTACCATCACTGAATCCCCCACTAACAGCATCTTGGGGGTTATCATTGACCAGGAACTCAACTGGACGTGCCACATAAACACAGTAGATACAAGATTAGGTCAGAGGCAAAAAGCTGCAAATGGAGTATATTGTGGGAAAATGTGAAATTGTCCATTTCGACAGAAAGAATATAAAAGAAGCACATTATATAAATGAGAGATTGCAGAGCTTTGGGATATAAAAGATCTAGATTCATGAATTGTAAAAGCATGCATGCAAGTATGGCAAGTAATTAAGAAACTTAATAGAATGTTATCATTAATTGCAAGGAGAAATTAAGACAAAAGTAGGAAGGTTGAGCTGCAGTTATTTCAAGAGAATCAGGGCAGAGATGACTGTAGTGGCCATCACAAAAGAGAAGGTGCTGGGGGAGCTGAAAGGGCTGAAGGTGGATAAATCACCTGGACCAGACGGACTACACCCCAGAGTTCTGAAGGAGGTAGCTGACGAGATTGTGGAAGCATCGGTGGTGATCTTTCAGGAATCACTGGAGTCAGGGAGAGTACCAGAGGACTGTAAATTGGCTAATGTAATATGCCCATTTAAGAAGGGAGTGAGGCAGAAGACAGGAAATTACAGGCTGGTTAGCCTGACCTTGGTCGTTAGCAAGATTTTAGAGTTTATTCATAGAATCATAGAATCCCTATAGTGTGGAAACAGGCCATTCGGTCCAACAAGTCCACACCGCCCCTCTCCAAAGAGCATCCCACCCAGACCCATTCCCCTACCCCTGCATTTCCCATGTCTAACCCACCTAACCTAAACATCCCTGGGCACTATGGGCAATTTAGCACAGCCAACCCACCTACCCTGCACATCTTTGGACTGTGGGAGGAAGCCGGAGCACCCGGAGGAAGCCCACGCAGACACGGGGAGAATGTGCAAACTCCACACAGACAGTCACCTGAGGGTGGGATTGAACCTGGATCCCTGGCTCTGTGATGCAGCAGTGCTAACCACTGAGCCACTGTGCTGCCCCATTATTATTGAGGAAGAGATTGCGTACTACTTGGAAGTGCATGGTAAAATAGGGCTGAGTCAGCATGGTTTTGTCAAGGGGAGGTCATGGCTGACACATCTGTTAGAATTCTTTGAGGAGGTAACAGGCAAGTTAGACAAAGGAGAGCCAGTGCATGTAATCTATTTGGATTTCCAGAAGGCCTTAGACAAGGTGCCGCACAGGAGGCTGTTAAATAGGATAAGAGCCCATGGTGTTAGAGGGCAAGGTACTGGCAAGAATAGTGGATTGGCTGACTGGCAGAAGGCAGAAAGTGGGAATAAAAGGGTCTTTTCAGGATAGCAGCCAGCACTAGTACAGGAGTCACTGTTGGGACCACAACTATTCATGTTATACATTAACAATCTGGATGAAGGAACTGCAGCCATTGTTGATAAGTTTGCAGATGACATAAAGATATGTGGAGGGACAGGTAGCATTGAGAAAGTGGGGTGACTGCAGAAGGACTTGGAATGGCCAGGAGAATAGGCAAAGTGGCAGATGGAATACAATGTGGCGAAGTGTGAGGTCCATTTGGTAGGAAGAATAGAGGCATAGACTATTTTCTAAACAGGGCAAGGTTTCAGATACCTGAAATGCAAAGGGACTTAGGAGTCTTTGTTCTGGATTCTCTTAAGGTTAACATGCAGGTTCATTTGGCAGTCAGGAAGGAAAATGCAATGTTAGCATTCATTTCAAGAGGACTAGGATCCATGAGCAGACATGTTCTGCTGAGGCTATACAATGCTCTCATCTGATGTGTGTGGAATATTGTGAGCAGTTTGGGCCCTATATCCACGGAACGACATGCCGGCATTGGAGGGGGTCCACAGGAGGTTTACAAGATGATCCTGGGGATGAAGGGCTTGTCGTATGAGGAACAGTTGAAGACTCTGGGTCTGCACTCAATGGAGTTTAGAAGGATGAGGGCGTATCTGATTAAAACTGAATACTGAGAGATCTGGATATAGTAGACGTGAAGATGATGTTCCTACTAGTAGGAGAGACTAAGACCCGAAGGTACAGGATCAAAGCTAATGAACAACGCCTTAAAACTGAGATGAGGCAGAATTTCTTCAGCCAGAGGGTGGTGAATCATTAGAACTCATTGCCACAGAAGGCTGTGGAGGCCAATTCATTTAATATAAGACAGAAACAGATTGGTTCTTGGAGATCAAGGATTAAGGAGAGAAGGCAGGAGATTGGGGTTGAGAAACGTATCGGCCATGATTGAATGATGGGGCAGACTTAATGAGCCAAATGGCCTAATTCTGCTCCTATATCTTATGGTCTAATGATCTTCTCGGTGAGACCACTTGGCATATATTGGTTTCCTTATTTGTGGAAGGATGTAAATAAATTCAAGAATGTTTATCAGACTAGTACCTGAAATAGGAGGGTTGGCTTATGAGGAAAATCTGGACAGACTATACTTGTATCCACTGAAGTTTAGAAAAGAAAGAGTTGACTTGATTAAAATATATAAGATCGTGAGGGACAGAAAAAGAAATTGCTAGAAAAACTCAGCAGGTCTGGCAGCATCTATGGAGAGAAAGCAGAGTTAATGTTTTGGGTCCAGGACACTTCTTCAAAAAACATCCAGACTCTGCAGTTCTTTGGTTTTTTTTGTAAGATCCTGAGGGAGCTTGACAAGGTTGATGTGGACAGAATATCTCCTCTTGAGGGAGAATCTAGAACAAACAGTCAGAATTTAAAAATAAAGGGTCATCTGTTTAAGACAGAGATGAGGAGAACTGTTTTCTTTCAGAAGTTCCTCAAGAGGTTTCATTACATTAAAAGTGCTATACAGCTATCAGTTTTTGTTGTCATTATGCTATCCAGCAGACAGAATATTAACCTATAGGACATTTTGGAGAATTCATGCTTCTACTTTGTAATATTGTAGCTTACTGACCATAAAAGCTGCCTCTACGTAAAGAACCACTGGCTCTTCCTGATATCTGATGTGACACTGCAGACGGTATTTTATTTTCTCCATCTTGCCTCCAGTAAGCAACAGCTCCAGGTCACAGTAATCATTGGGCTCTATAAAGAGTGCAGATAGCTCTAGTCAGATATTTTATTTTAACAAAACTGGTAGCGTAGAGCTTGTTGATAATTAAATGGCCAAATCACCAAGATGTTAACAGAAATAACTTGCCCTTAAGCAGCATTTTTCTCAACCTTACAATGTCCCAAAGCACTTTTCAGCCAATGAAATACTTCTGAAGTGTAGCCACTGTTAAAATTGCCACAATCCCAGCTAATATCATCACTGGACAAGTGAGATCTCAGAGAAAAGTCTGGCTTGATAGGTCATATTTTACATATCTGGTTTTAACAAGGATCTCTCACAGACATATGAGGATAAAATGCTGCAGATTTGGTTTTAACAATAAAACAAGTTTATAATACAAAAGATATGAAAATAGAATCGATCAAACAATTTACATACAACGTACATTTTAAGATTTGAAAACATATGATAAAACTATAATCCTGTTAAATTTTAAAGGCATCCCTTTTCATATCAGAGAGAATTCCCTTCCGTATCATCCCTAAATGATTTAATTTCATGGATGCTTCAACTCTCAGACTTGAGAACCTGATAACTTCTTCATGGAGCCTTCAGACTACAACAATGCTTGAACTTTCTCAACTTCAAGTGGCCCCTTCACGATTTTAAGTAAACACTTCCAGTCTGGAGCCTTTATTGAATGCCTTGGACAGAGATAATTATTTTTAACTTATCTTGTCCTTTTCTCAGGAATAACTGTCTTACACATCCAACTGAACCAAGACTGCTGCACAACTGCCCAAACTGAAACAAGAACATCCTTTCCAAATTATGGACTCTAATAATAAGAAAACCCTTTTCTTTTAAACTGAAACGTTAATGCACATAGGTTTATGTTGTTCACTCAAAAAATGTTTGCAATGTAAACAAAAATCCATTACACTCCAGGATGGCTCTTTCGCACAGTTTTAAAAGAAATTGCTATTACTTCACAAATGATTAAAATGATTGAACCCCTTCGAACATACAGAAAACCCATATACTACTAGATCAAACTTTTTAAAAAATTCAAACTCAAAATAAATGATACTAAAATATACATAAATCACTCAGCTTATACCACATAATCGCACAACCATTGTGACAACAGTAATTTTCTGAAATATCTACCAAGAATAGTTGGGCATATTGCTTGCATGAAAAGCTAGAAAGTAGTTCTGAATAATGGTCTCTATGCTGGTCTATTGATTCATTCAAGAACACTAATGTTAGTAAACCTTTCCTCCCAGCTAACTCTCAGAATTCATCTCAAAGTGTCGATAGTACTTCTCAGGGACCTTGGGATCTTGAGGTAGTATCTATATGTAGTTCAGGTTTTGAAGCCATCTAAAAGGGTCAGAAGGATGACTGCCTTATACACAATATATGGCTCCTCAGCCTGACTGCTCCAGACCAGCCGCTTCCTCTGTTCTTCTCTCCTTACTCTTTTTTGTCTTCTTTCTTTTTCTTTCTCTTCATCTTCTTCCAGTTGGCGGCAGCAGAGAAGGTGAAATCATAGACGATGGTGGCCAGAGCAGGACTCGTGGCCTAGCCTGGCAGTGGAGCCAGGGACTCCTGGTCATGGTAGGCCCGGAGTGGGCACTCCGGGTTATCAGTGAGGCAGCGGTGGCAGCGGAGTCAGGAACTCCCAGTTGCAGGGCCAGAGTGGGTTTAGCACGGGGCCTGGCATTGGCAGTGGCGTCAGCAAGTTGGGCCCAGCAGCGAAGAGATGGCACCTGAAGAGTGGTGAGACTGATGGTGGTGGGTTCAGCGAAGGCAGTGGAGGAGGGGTGTCAGCACAGATGTCATTTGTCAGCTGGCTCAGAGCTCAGGACTCATGGTGGAGGCGTCAGAATGAAGATGAACACACTTTCAGTTATATCTTTTTATTCTTAAACTATTCAAAATGGCACCAAATTGTGGTGACAGTTGAAGACTTTCACTGTAATTTACTGCATTATTCACTGTAAAATACAAGTGACAATAAATCATTCAAATTCAAATTCATGAGGGCGTCTTGGAGTCAGCACGGATGGCACGGTTTTCAAAGATCTCAACCTTAGGTGTCTAAAGGCGGTTCTCATAAATTGGATGTGATGTCAGATCACTGCATCAATTTCAGCCTCAGATAAGAGGTGGCTCCCCAGTTAGGGGAAATGTTCCAAGTTTGGGAGGACCTCCATTGACCTTAATGGAGGAATGGACCAGAAGCTGCCCTGAAAGTCTTGAACAAAAACAAAGTTGCTGGAAAAGCTCAGTAGGTCAGGCAGCATCTGTGAAGGTAAAAGCAGAATTAACGTTTTGGGTCCGATGACCCTTCCTCAGAACTGTGGTTCCTCAAAACTGGCAGTTCTGAGGATTCACTTCAAATGAACAAAAGATCTAAGCTTCACCACTGAGCCAGCATTTATTGTCCAATCTCTAGCTGCCCTAGAGTCGCCTCCTTGAACAGCTGCAGTCTGTTTGATGTAGGTACATCCTAAGAACGGTTAAGGAGAGAGTTTTGGGATTTTGACCCAGCAACACTGCAGAAGCCGCAATATATTTTCAAGTGAAGACAGTGAGCGACTTTGAGGGAAACTTGCAAGTGGTGCCTTGTATCTGCTGATATAACAAGGTGTAGAGCTGGATGAACACAGCAGGCCAAGCAGCATCAGAGGAGCAGGAAGGCTGACGTTTCGGTTATCTTGTTATCTCAGATTCTCCAGCATCTGCAGTTCCTACTATCCTTGTATCTGCTGCCCTTGTCCTTCCAAATGGGAGTCATGTTGGGTTTGGAAGATGCTGTCTAAGCAGCCTTGGTGAATTTCTGCAGTGTACCTGCGCCAAGGTCAGAATTGATGTCATCCATTTCATATTAATAGATAAATTCTCTTCCTTAGTTTTGCCCTCCTTTCGCTTAAAATAAAGCACCCTCCTTTCACTTAAAATAGATGCACAGCAGTATTACAACTCCATAAAACAGTTATTGATTCAACACAAAATACATGAGAAAGGCTTCATGCTTAATCTCAAATCCATTCTGAATCAGCCAACATGACTATATTGATTCATCCACAAGCAAATTAGACTTCTTACAGAAAATAACATTTTTTTGGGATAAAGTATATGAGTGACTTGAGACATATTATAGAATCATTGATAGTAACAATATAAAAGGAAGCCAGTCAGTCCTTTTGTCTGTGCCGGTTCTGTGCAAGAGTTATTCAGTTAACCCCATTTTCCACTTCCTACCTATAGCATTGATTTTTTTTTCTTTTATACCCAGGCTGGTACACACATTGTCAATGAAGCAGCTAGTTGAAGTTTCAAAACAAATTGCTTGCACCACGAAAAGATTTTTTTAAATCAAATTAAATCTGAGGAAGAGAAATCCAAAAAATATCGGTTGAAAGCATAGACAGCAAAACCAATGAATAGGGTGAAAATTGAGAGGAGGTTATTCTGGAAATGCTGGATATGCTTAGAATGGATAAGTCACTTGTTCCAGATCACTTACATCCCATTCGTTAAAGTAAGTGGAAAGGCAGAAAGAGGAAGGTTTGTCATGGTCCATCTGTGGTTAGGTGAATATTCCTCTGTTGATAAGTTGAAAATAGTTTCCTTCCCTTTTCAGACTTCCCGCTGCCTTGGCAAACCAGCCAACATAATCAAAGACCCCTCCCAAACCAGTTATACTCTCTTCCACCCACTTCCATTGGGCAGAAGATACAAATGTTTGCAGGCATATAACAACAGATTTAAGAACAGCTTTTCCCTTGCTATGAATGGACCTCTCATGTATTAGGATTGATCTTTCTCTGTGCCTTCTCTGTACCTGTAATGCTATACTCTGCATTCTGTTCTATTATCTTCAAGTACTTGTTAGTACGCAAAACAATACTTTTCACTGCATCTCAGTACATGTGGCAATATTACATAAAATCAAATCAAATCAGACCATCCCCACCCTTTGCTGGCCTCTTCCCTGTCTCTAGAACCTCTGCCCATTTTGTAGCTCATTTTCCCACTTTGCAGCTCCTTATTCCCAATGACAGGCCCTCACCTCCCACATACAACCCTCTCTCCCATTTAGAGCACCTCTCTCCCATTTAGAGCACCTCTCTCCCCTCTGTAGCCTGATATGATAAAACCATAATCCCACTAATTCCAAAAGCATCCCTTTACAGTACTCATATCAGACAGAATTCCCTTCTCTATCTGAGGGGTCTGAAGAAGGGACGACCCAAAACATTAACTCTGCTTTCTCTCCATGGATCAGAGAATCCTTACAGTGTGGAAGCAGGCTATTCAGCCCATCGAGTCCACATTGACTCTTTGAAAGGCTTCCCTCCCAGACCCACACCATCTCTGTAACTCTACATTTCCCATGGCTAATCCACCCAACCTAAGCATCCCTGCACACTATGGGCAATTTAGCATGGCCAGTCCACCTAACCTGCACACCTTTGGATTGTGGGAAGAAAACGGAGCACCCGGGGGAAACCCATGCAGATACAGGGAGAACGTACAAACTCCACATAGACAGTTGCCAAGGGTAGAATTGAACCTAGGTCACTAGCACTGTGAGGCAGCAGTGCTAACTACTGAGCTACCACGCTGCCCAGATGCTTTCCCAGCAATTTCTGATTTCCAGCATTCACAGTTCTTTGGTAATTTTGTTTCTTTTTAAATTCACCAATATTGTTTTCTTTTATAATTTCAGTTGGCTCTCAACCTCAGGAATGTCCTGTAGGAGAGAATTCTACCATCTTTTATGTAAAGAAGTAATTTCTCATATTGCCCCTGAGCACATCTTACTTGGAACTCTGTACTAAAAGAAACAAACAGTGTCTATCTATCCACCCTACAAACTTATTTAATTATCTTAAACACTTTAGTTAGATTACCTCTTAATTTTCTACATTCCAGGGAATTCAGACCTAGTCTATGCAAACTACCCCAAAGTACTTAAGCATCCTAGCCTCAATATTATTATTATTATCAGGTGCCAGTTTTGGACTGGAGTGGACAAGGTCAAAATTCACACGACCACCAGCTTATAGTCCAACAGGTTTATTTGAAATTACGAGCTTTTGGAACATAGCCCTTTCACCAGGTGAAGTCACAGAGAACCACACAGACACAGAATTTATAGGCACAGAGATCAATGACAGAGAGAGTGATCAGCACTATCATGGCATTACCTATTGCTCCACAAGGTGGCAGCACCTCCAGGATGTGAGAATCATGCACATTCTCCCATTCGAAGTAGATGGTGGATTTGCTGTTATTCCACATCTGCAGTAAACACAGCACACAAGAAGCTGAATGCATTTATTGAGAGTTACCTAGTATGTTACAATTGTTTCAAGTCCCTCACGTTTTTACATTTGAAACACATTCTGGTTAAACTGGTAGGATATTTAGATTACGGTTAACATTTTGAACATTATGTGGAACGGAGGCAGCTCTGGGTCCACAGGTTCCAGTACCTCATGTGGATGTCTAAGAACCTACTTAATACCATGAGGGTTTCTGTCTCTACCACATTTTCAAAAAGTAGGTTCCAGATCCCCACCATCCTTTAGGTGAAAGAAATTCTCCTCAGGTTAACCCCAACAATCATTTAAATTAATGCCTACGTCTTTGAACTGTCTGCTGAGGAAAATTAATTCTTCCTATTCACTCCGAAGATATGATGTAAATCCCACTGGAGCCGCTAGGATTGAACAAATTCAATTTATTAACAAATCTGGAATAAAATGGTCGTAGAACATAGAACAGCACAGCACAGGAACGGGCCCTTCGGCCCACGATGTTGTACTTAACGTGATGCCAAATGAAACTAATCCCTTTTGTCTGCCCTTGGTCCATATCCCTCCATTCCTTGCATATTCATGTGATTATCCAAAAGCCCCTTAAATGTCCTTATCGTATCTGCCTCCTCCACCACCCCTGGCAGTGTGTTCCAGACACCTACCCCTCCATTTTTAAGAAACTTGCTCCTCATGTCTCCTTTGAACTTTCCCCCTCTCACCTTAAATGCATGCCCCCTGGTATTAGACATTTCAATTTGGGAAAAAGATTCTGACCGTCAACCCTATCTATGCATCTCATAATTTTATAGGCTTCTATCAAGACTCCCCTCAGCCTCCGCAGCTCAAGAGAAAACAACCCGTGTTTTTCTAGCCTTTCCTTATAGCTCATACCCTCTAATCCAGGCAGCATCCTCTTAAACCTCTTCTGCACCCTCTCCAAAGCCTCCACATCCTTCATGTAATGCGGCAACCAGAATTAAATGCAAGTGTGTTTAAGTGTGGCCTACCCAAAGTCTTGTAAAGCTACAACATGACGTTTTGACTTTTGTACTCAAATCGTCGAACAATGAAGGCAAGTATGCCATATACCTTCTTTACCACCCTATCTACTTTGTAGTCTCTATGTTATAATGGTGGTCAGTTTTAGAAGAGGCCGAATCGTCAGTAGGAGCTAGAGTCTAAGCTGTTGATAAAATTTCCTTTTATTTAACACATTACAAAATATTCACACAATTAAATTCAGTATGGAGTATACAGAATCATCTATTTGGAGTTTGCTGTAGAGTGATCTCTTACATCATTACTGATAGAAACTGACTATTTATATATTTGAGTATTAATCCTTTCCTCTACAATTACAATACTAATGACCAAGAAATTACCGGATTTTGTAAAAATACCCAGCTGGTTCACTAATATCCTTTAGGAAGGGAAATCTATGATCCTTAATGTGGTCTGCCTTACATGTAACTCCAGATCCAAAGCAATGTGGTTGACTTTTCACGGGTCTATCAGTTGTTTCAAACCATGACAGAAAAAGAAAGCATTGTAGGTGCACCTACACTGACTGGATTACAGCAGTTCAAGAAGGCAACTCGCTACCACCTTCACAAGGTCAGTTATGGATGGGCAACAAATCCTGGATTTGCCAATAGCTGTCACATCTCAAGAACAAATAAAAAATTATGTCTCGGCCCCTCATAATTTTGTACACCTCAATTAAATCTGCTCTCAGTCTCCTTTGTTCCAAAGAAAATAAGCCCAGTCTATCCAATAAATGCTGAGTGCCATTTCTTCTGGTACCATAGAGAAGCTGTAAGCTGAAGTTGGAGGGCTAGCAATGACCAACCCTGGGAGGCTTTTACATGTCAGGACTGTGACAGGCGGGAACAGGATGGATGCTTTCCACACAGCTTGGGCTGCTTGATGCAGGGAGCAAACTGCTACCCCCATGCCCCCACTAGGAGGTTGGTTGGACCGAGAAGTAAGCCTGCCCCGCAGAAGTAACTTGGGTGGTGTTAATGAGGGCAGAGTGGGACCTCCGTCCTCTCAGTGGAAACCGCAAATTGATTAGCTTTAGCAATCTGGGAGTTGCTGGGATTGCAGGCAGGCTCACTAGCAAGGCAGCCATGGCTCCAAGATCAAAGTAAGCTGGGGGTATTGTATTGGATCAACTTAAGAAGAACGTGGTGGATGTGGGATTCAGAGAGCAGGCTGATAGAAAGGAAGAGGCGTGGGCATTATTCCTGGGGATTAAGGCCTGGGAAAACCGATGGATCCCAGGACTCTACGGGATTCACAATGCTCAGGTCAGGACCAGGGTGGGCCCAGGGACATGGACCAGCAGCAGTAGGGCCTGTAATTTCTGTCCCTGCCCCTGCTGGGAGGCTCCCCAAACAGTCAAAGAATCTCCCCAAAGTTAGCAACCCTGCCTCTTCACCACCCTCTTCCTTCTGCTTCAAAAACCTTTTTAAAAAGCTCTCAGCCAGCCATATTACGGCATGGAACAAAAACAGAAGTTGCTGGAAATGCTCAGCAGGTCTGGCAGCATCTGTGAAATAACAATCAGAGTTAACATTTCAGGTCCGGTGACCCTTCCTCAGAAGGGTCTGTATGTCCTTGTTTGCTATGATCTGCCTGTACTGCTCGCAAAACAAAGCTTTTCACTGTACATAGGTACATGCGACCACAATAAATCAAATCAAATCATTAACAAGCTGTTTGGGACAACTGGTCTATGTGTGTTTTTATACAAGCTCCTCCTATATTCATCTAAACTTATCAGCGTAATCTTCAATTATTTCCTTCCTTGTGTACTAATCAAGTTTCCCATTAAATACCCTTCTCCTTAAATGTTTTTATCTCAACTATCAGCTCTGTAGACCTCCAGTTTGACAGTCAGACTTACTTTCCTTTGTTCCCAATCAGATATTTGATGTCTGCAAAAGGCTACGTTAGCATTGGCATTTCTTGCATGTATCTTATCATCAGTACACACAGCTCAAGAGAGTGTGCTGCATGAACTTATCCACTTCTGGCAAAATCTGGTCATGAACTGAAACTTTGGGCTCACGTCAGGACTTTTCAGGAGTAGGCTGGTACATTAACATCTTCGTGTTGATCCTACTGGTCTAATTCTCTACATCTCACTACTGAAGTCACTTGATTTTAGAAACCTCTATCAGGTTAGCTCTTAGTCTTGTGAAAGCAGCCTGAAGCCTGTTCAGCCTTTCCTGATAAGTTTGCAATCGTACTGCTGGTATTAATCCTGAAAATTGTGCATGTACCCTCTTCAGTGCCCTGATGTGGAGCTCAGAACTCAGTACAGCACACCCAGGTGTGGTCTACGCAAGTTTCTACTCATGTTTACTATCATTGCAATGCTCTCCAGTTGTATCTTTTCTTCATCCAAAGACATTTAAATTCAAACCTCAAAATATTTTTTCAGAGTCGTGCCCAGGTAGTTCTCGCCAGGGATGAGAATGGCATAAGGCTTCAACAAGACTTGAAATGGCTCAGTGTAGCCCTTAACCTCCAGCTCCATGCCTACGATATTAGTAATTGCTGCAGAAGCTGTTTTCATTGATCTTTCCAAGCTGCCTTTCCTGAAATGTATCAGCGAAGAAAAGGATTTAGTTTGAAAGAAGTACACCTTTGGCACAATTTGATTTGATTTTATATCCAACAAGGATTATCTTTCAAAGGTTCAGACCTCTTCCAAGGAGAGCTGACCCTTTTGTGGCATGAGGGCACAGCTGGCAAAGGATATGGGTCCTTGTTAACTTAAGATAAAGTCATAGAGTCATACAGCACGGAAACAAGGCCGTTTGGCCCAACTCGTCCATGCTGACCAGGTTTCCTAAACCAAATTAGTCCTATTTGCCTTTATTTGGTCCATATCCCTCTAAAACTTTCCTATTCATGTAGCTGTCCAAATGTCTTTTAAACATTGGGTTGTTGAGGTTGGTTGGCTCGCCGAGCTGGTTTCTTGTTTCGCAGACATTTCATTGCCATGCTTGGTAACATCCTCAGTGCAGTTCCTACTCACTCATTTGGAAGTGAGGCAATCCATCTCAACAGACTCCAGAGTTTAAAAACCAGGCGGGAAAACACACCAACGCTTCATCGGAGGCTGCACGGAGGATGTTACCCAGCATGGTAACGAAACGTCTGCGGAACAACAAACAAGCTCGGCCAGCCAACCAACCACAACAACCTCAACACCCACAACCCGAGCTACAAATCTACTCCAAAATCTTTTAAACATTGTAACCGCCTCTACTACGTCCCCTAGCAGCTCGCTCCATACACGCACCAACCTCTGTGTGAAAATATTGCCCCTCAGGTCCCTTTTAAATCTTTCCCTTCTCACCATAAGCCTATGCTCTCTAATTTTAGACTCCCCTACCCTAGGGAGAAGACCATGGTGTGGAAATCCATTGGAAATATGAGTACAAAACAAGGTGTGGCATGAGACAGAGATGTGCAGGCACATGTGAAGCTTACCTAGTGGTGCTACACTCATTGGCATTCAAAGGCTCTGGAACACCTTGCAATACAAGGTAAAACACACTGTGATACTCTTTCACCTGCGAATGGAGAACAACATTTCATTCAAGGAAGAGATTAACTTCGAATAAACATCATAATTTCAACCTTTTGTTAGTCTTAGTGCAGATACCTCAAAATTGCCGTTTCAGATGCTTTGTGTGTCTACACTTTAAAACATATTGATGGGCAACGGAAATTTGAAGAACAACAACTTATCTTCTGCCTGGGCATCCTACAGCCCAGAGCACTCAACACTGAGTTCTCCAATTTCAAATAACCTTGCCATCCATCCCCGGCCTCCCCTTGCAGCCCCACATCCTCCCTTCCATTTCACCTTCTGACTCTCCCTTAAAGCAACCAACCGGATTCATCCCTCTCATCAACCAACCAGGTTGTACCTACTACCAGTATCCACCTATCACCACCATTCCGCTACCCTCCTTGCTCCCTTTTTATGTGCAGCTCCCTCTACCCCCACATCTAGTCCTGAAGAAGGGTAATACCCGAAACGTTGGCTGCTCCTTTCCCCCAGATGCTGCCTGGCTTGCTGTGTTCTTCCAGCCTCCTGTTTGTCATATTGATGGGCCTGCTGGTCATTTTTATTTTTCACATCTCTAAATAGGCAGACAAGTTCTTAATTTAATACCTCATCAAAAAGACAGCATGCCTTGGGGTTTTCATCTGGATTAGTCACTTTGTGCAAACATTTGTGTGAGTGCTGATGCAGGTATTTAGAAATGCAAAATTATAATCAAGAATTGAAAAATTAGGTGGCGTGGTGGCTCAGTGGATAGCACTGCTGCCTCACAGCACCAGGGAGCCCAGTTCGATTCTACCTCTCCGTGTGGAGTTTGCACATTCTCCCCATGTTGGCATGGGTTTCTTTGGGTGCTCCAGTCCGAAGATGTGCAGGCTAGGTGGATTAGCCATGAGAAATGCTGGGTTACAGGGACGGGGTGGGTCTGTGCGGGATGCTCTTTGGTGGGTCGGTGTGAACTTGACGGGCTGAATGGCCTGTTTCCACGCTGTAGGGATTCTATGAATATATATTAATGAAACAAGTGAGGAAAGTGAATGTACTATCACCATGTTTACGGGTGACAGAGAAACAGGCAGGAAGGCTCATAGAGAGAATAACACAAAGAGTCTATGGAGGGATATTGACAGGTAAGCATGTGGGCAAAAAACTTGGCAGATGGAAAGTAATTTGGGAATACGTGAGGTTATGCATTTTGGCAGGAATAATAGAGGAGCTGGGGAATGACTGCAGAAAGTTTCAGCTCAGAGGAATTTGAGGATCTCCGTGCATGAATCACAAAAAACTAGCATCCAAGTTTAGCCGGTAATTGGGAAGGCAATTGGAATGTTGGCCTTTATTTCATGGAGAACGGAATTTAAAAAAAGGGAGATCTTGCTAAAACCATACAAAGCACAGTAGACCTAGAAAACTGTGAACAGTTTTGGTCTCCTGACCTAAGAAAAGATACACTGACATTGAAGGCAGTCCAGAGAAGGTACGCCAGGTTGATGCCGAATATGAAAGGATTTTCTTATGAAGAGAGGCTGAGCAGGTTGGGTCTATCACATAAACTCAGAAGATTTATGAAAACAGAATGGTAAACGTTGCCTATATGGACTTCAGCAAAGTGTTCTACAAGGTTCTGCATGGTAGACCAGTTAGTAAGGTTAGATCACACAGGATCCGGGGGAGCTAGTCAATTGGATACAAAATTGGCCTGAAGGTAGGAGACAGAGGGGGTGTTAGAGGACTATTTTTGGACTGGAAGCCTGTGACCAGCAATGTGCCACAAAGATTAGTGCTGGGACCACTACTTTTCGTCATTTATATAAATGAATTGGATGTGAATATAGGAGGCATGGTAACACCAAAATGGGTGGTGTAGTGGGCAATGAAGAAGATTATCTTAGAGTACGATGGTACCTTGATCAGATGGGCACATGGGCTGAGGAGAGGCAGTTGCAGTTTAATTTAGATAATTATGAGGTGCTGCATTTTGACTAAGTAAACCAGGGCAGGATTTATACAGTTAATGTTAGGGCCCTGGGGAGTGTTGTCAAACAAAGAGACCCAGGAGTGCAGGTGCATAGCTCCTTGAAAGCGAAGTTGCATGTGGACAGGGTAGTGAAGAAGGCGTTTGGTATGCTTGCCTTCATTGGTCAGAACATTGAATATAGGAGTTGGGACATCAGGTTGCAGCTGTACAGGACATTGGTTAGGCCACTTTAAGAATACTGCATACAATTCTGGTCACCTTGTAGTGAAGATGTTGTTAAACTTGAGAGGGTGCAGAAAAGATTTACAAGGATGTTTCAGAGATAGTAGGAACTGCAGATGCTGGAGAGTCTGAGATAACAAGGTGTAGAGCTGGATGAACACAGCAGGCCAAGCAGCATCAGAGGAGCAGGAAGGCTGACATTTCGGGTCAAGGATGTTGCCAGGGCTGGAGGGCTGAATAGGCCAGGGCTTTTTTCCCTGGAGCTTCAGAGGCTGAGGGGTGACCTTATAGAGGTTTATAAAATCATGACGGGCATGTATTGGGTAGGGGAGTACAAAACTAGAGGGTTTAAGGCGAGAGAGGAAAGATTTAAAAGGGACCTGAGGGGTAACATTTTCACGCATTAGGTGGTGCATGTATGAAATGAGCTGCCAGAGGAGGTGGTAGAGGCGGGTAAAAATACAACATTTCAAAGACATTTGGATGAGTACATGAAAATGAAGGGTTGAGAGGCGTACGGGCCAAATGCTGGCAAATGGTCGGAGTTGGACCGAAGGATCAGTTTCCATGTTGTATAACTCTATGATTCTATAATGACAGGAGATCTTATTGAAACATATAAAATTCTTAGTAGCTTGTCAGGGTAGATGCAGAGAAGTTGTTTTCCTTTATAGGACAGGTAGGACCAGATGATATTATCTCAGAGTAAGGGGTCATTCATTTAATGCAGAGTCAAGGAGGAATTCCTTCTCTCAGAGGGTACTGAATGGGTAGAATTGTTTACAGCAGAGGACTGTTGAGGCTGGGTCATTAAATGTATTCAAGGCTGAGACAGACAGATTCTGTAATTAGTAAGGGAATCAAAGATTATGGGAGATAGGCAGAAAAATGGAGTTGAAGATTATCAGATCAGTCATGATCTCATTGAATGGCAGAGCAGACATGATGGGCTAAATGGCCTACTTTGATTCTCAAGTTTTATGGTTTTATTAGGCAAGCATGAAATTGTCAAATTTCTCTAAGTTGCTCCCATGTCAATTTCTCAGAGGCGTGGGAAAGGGACTGTTTTCCCGTTAATAGTGAGTAAACAACTGAGCTACCTAAAGGCCAAATAGGGCCTAATTGTCAATGGTCAAACATCAGCCTCCAGGCCCTCTTGAAGGGAAAGCCAGTAAAAATCAGTCATACTTGTGTGCTGAAACTCCATTTGGAGATATTCAAGATCAATTGTATAGGCTTTTCCCTTCTGGGCTTGAAGGCATTGGCAATAACTGCGTGGAGACAGTCTCCCAGCGGGCAACCAGAGAGGTCAGGGCTCCAGGCAGACCCAGGCCTTTCGTGCCTGTCTGGCTTCAGCTGCAGGACACCCTGTAGAAGTCAGTCTCCTTTCCACAATGTTGGGCCATGGGCTGCTCTGAGAGGACATTTTTCATTTGACGTATTAAAAAAATTGGAGGGAGAGCCCCTCAAAATTGATTTATCTGATCAGGTATCCTGCTTCTTTTTCAATGCCCAAAAGCCCCCTGCAGCTTCAAGAACCTGCCTGTGATCCTTAATTCCACACCAGGTCCACCTTTAGGCCATTAATTGACCAATTCCAGGAAAGTCACTGTAAAGCTGACTGCTCTCCTCTGAGCCCCGCTTCCCCAACAGTTAAGAGACCTGCATATGGCTCTGAGGCATAACCTTCTGTAGTGACAGTCTAATCACAGACCAAGGCTGACATAATCGGGAAATATTGGAAATGAATCTACCAAGAGCAGCATTCACTGTTGGATTGCTGCTCTTGCACTGACTTTATGGACCTGCATTCATCCACCACATTTTCTGGGCCCAACATGTGATACTGAAGGGCCTCAAAAGTGCACCAGCTAACCTTGAATCCAGCTGAAGCCTCACAAGGTGGGAGGCTGGGTAGGGGACCTTTTTTGTAAAAAGAAGGGTGAATACGGTAATAAAAGCATAGAAAGTGCTGGAGAAACTCAGCAGGTTTGATAGCATTTGTGGAGAGAGACAGAGTTAACGTTTAAAGTCTGGGATGACTCTTCTTCAGAACTGAAGGGGACTGGGAGAGGGCTGATAGGGTTCCAAGGTAGAAACAGTAGATACAGACAGCTGTGGATAGGTAGATTGAAAGCCAGTCAGATCGGTTCAGACATCTGTTGGGAGTCAGAGGGATCTTGGATTGGGTCTTGAGGGGCAGAGGGGAGTTGGGACTGGGTTGTTCTGTTCCTGAGCAGGTGAATGATCAGATTGGGATGAGGATCATTTACGAAAAAAGTCAAAGCAGGTTCAAGGAGGTGGGGGAGATCAGGTCAGAGCAGTAGGTTTTGGGGAAGGACTTGGCTGAAGAATGGGATGGGGATTGGGTCAGGTATGTAGGGAGGGGTCGAGTGTCTGTTGGGTTTGGTGAGAGGAGGAGACTGTGTGGGTGGGTGTATGGGATGTCGATGTGTGGAGACAAGTCAGTGTGAGTGAGTGGTCAGTTTAATAGTCAGTCAGGAGTTACAGCAGGTTTAGCTCTTCTAAATTTTCCTGGCTAACTATTTAGGTAAGTGATTCAGAGAAAGAGTGAGGCAGAACCTTCCAAGTTTCTGAGTTTTAACCTGGAGTTTGGGATTTTATCAGAGGGTTCTATAGACCCTGGGCAATTGCCCACTGGATTTTTCAACTTGGCAGGCATTTACCACATTGAGAGTGCATCAGGACTTCAGAGAGGGTATGTCTGATCTCCAAGTATCCAGAGACTGCCAGATCTGAGTCATTAGCTTTTATGTTTATTAGGGAAGGCCTAGTGGCAT